TCATGTTCCTTATTCCATTTCACTTACTCTCATCATTCCAAACTGTTAGTCTAGTCGTCCTTATGTTAGGATTGCTTAATAACGTTTAAATGTCTGGTTAAAATTCGGCCAATACTTTAGTTAATAAAGAAATACTTTAAAATCTGTGTTGCCCAGGTTGTGCCCAAACAAGCTGTTTATGAAACTACACCTAAAAACTTGACAGATCTGTCTTGTTGCTAAAAAAGGCTGGTTTGAAGTTTCTTTTGTCTCTGCTTTCCTCACTCTTTCCCTTGTGTTTCCAGGACTGCTTGACCATTTAATAGATCTGAAACATCTTTTGGAGGCTGTTAGAGGCTAATGTGGGAAGGAAAGGAATTTGATTTTGACAGGCTTAGGTCCTTGGCATGGATAATGCAGGTCAGATCTAGAGCTGTCATGGGAGTACTTTCTGAGAAGCAGTTCTGACTTGCCCCACTGTAAACCAGGTTTGAAACTACACTGAAAATGCCACATGGGTAAAGTTTCAGTATCTCTTCACTGGTGGTAGAATGCAAATGTGAGTCTGGATGCTTGGGGTCCTCCCAGGGCTAAAATGGCTCACCTACGTTAGTAGGTTGTGCTAGGCAGTGTCATCTGCTGTGTTAATAGGGATCATTTGCTCTTGCTGCAGTGCTGCCTCTCCTCTGGATTGTCACACTTGGAGGTAGTGTCTGTGATTTGCTTTGTTTACAGTTTGGGTGTTTTCACAGAAGCCCAGAATGGGTCAGATTGGAAGGGACCTCAGAGGCTCATCTGGTCTCACCTCCCTGCTCCAGCAGGGTCATCCCAGAGCACAGGGCACAGGCTTGTGTCCAGACAGCTATGGAATCTCTCTGTTGAGGGAGACTCCACACCCTCTCTGGCCTCAGCACTGCACAGCAAAGAACTTCTTCCTCATGTCCGGGTGGAACTTCCTGGGCATCAGTTCCTGCCCATTGCCTCTTGTCCCATTACTGGGCACACTGAGCAGGGCCTGGGCCATCCTCTGCCCCTCCCTGCAGACCCCGACAGATGTGGATGAGGTCCTCTCTCAGTGTCTCTTTTCGAGGCTGAGCAGCCCCAGCTCCCTCAGCCTTTCCTGCACCCAGAGATGCTCCATCCCTTCAGCATCCTCACAGCCTCTGCTGGACCCGCTCCAGGAGCTCTTGTCCCTCCTGTCCTGAGGAGCCCAGAGCTGGCCCCAGCACTGCAGATGTGCCTTACAGGGCTGGACAGAGGGGCAGGATCCCCTCCCTGACCTGCTGCCAGTGCTCTTCCTGATGCACCCCAGGATCTCATTGGCCTCCTTGGCCACAAGGGCACTTGTTTCGCTAATCTTTTAACGATTTGCTTAGTTCTAGACTGGATGAGAGCAGCTGGACTTCAGCTGTGATCTGGGAGAGAAAAGAGGAAACCCTGCATTATCTTCTATTACAACTCCTCAGGCTACCTACTTCCACTTCTTGGAAGTGGTTGGTACAACTGCAGTGGTGAGCACAGCAGCATTGTCTTGTTCACACTGTTTGCAAACGGACATCTTTTCTGCAAACCTGATGGGGCCATACAGCTTTTTCATAGTGCAGAAATGATATCACATGGGTGACTGAACAGGGGCCTGAAGTAGAGGAGCTGAATTCTTGAAGCTGATATAGTTTAATAATTCTGTCTCAAAATCTTTGAGAATGGTGAAACAGAGCTATAACAGAATAATTATAATAGAATCACAATAAGGCTCAGGGGTGAAAAACTTTCTTTGTCATCGTGGACTCCTAGTATGATAAAATGGATATGCTACCAAACTAGGTGCTCCATTGCCTTTTGTAAAAACATTACAGTAGTCTAGAGATTGTTTTGTACATGACACAGAACAAGATAACCTTCCTTGAGATTGTAATATGTTTTAATTGAACTCATGAATTAAACAGGCAGACAAGCAACTACATCAGTAGTTTTGTTTAAAAGTTCATTAGTTTTCGCTGGTCTTGGATGATTTTCTGTTTTTATTAAAAGATCTATTGATGTTTAAGTGCAGTCTTCCAAAATAAATTGCTTTGAAGGTAAATAGAATAACTGAAGCTTTATTAGAGACTGCTTATGTAAACATGATGAACATGAAGCTCTGACATCTGTTTTTAAAGTGGGGGCAGTGTCTGAGTGACAAGAAAACCACCTCCAAATCAGAGAAATGAAAAGGGAGAGGAAAAAAAATCCCACTATAAAGAAGTTCTGAGACAGAGTTTTCAAGTGGGCACTAAAAATACCTGTTTTATGAGCACTTGTGGAATTCTCTGTAAAATTGAATTTTACATTTACCTTTTATGCTTTCAATAACTTTTTGAAATAGAAGCTTCTTCTTGCCTATGCTGGGCAGTAGCATTTATATTCACTTAACACTGCTCTTACAGTATATTCCAGCATTTCCTTACTATTGCACCTGGAATTTTTGACATAGGAAGTTTGGGGGTTTGAAATCTGCCAGATAGTTTGAAAACAAATAAAAACGTGTTTAGGAGAATGCCAAGTGTAATGCAAACTCTTGAACATAAAGGGAAGGAGGCAGGGAGGAAATTCAGATTCTTACTGGATGCTTGCCTTGTAAATTTATCCAATAAATATTTTCAGTAATATTCTGCAATACACTACAAAACCCCCGAGTTTCTGGACTATATTTTCTTTTCAGAGAGAGTATTTCTTTTACAAAAGTTTGCTGGGAAGAGGGTGTGTGGGATAAGTATAAAGGTTGTATTGTAGGTGGAGAGCATTCCTAGACGTTTTCTGACCGATGTCTCCAGCCAGACTGTGACTCTGCCCTCCTCTGTCCCGTTGTTTCACGCTGCAGTGCTCATGTTATTGTAGCCGAGTGTCACCAACACCGAGGCAGAATTAGAGCTGCTGAGTCAGGCGGGGAGAGAAGCTGCTACTGGAGAGTGGGTGGCAAGCAGCAGTTTGTACTTCTTTATTAGGTTGTTTCTTTAATGCTTTCTCTTTCATTGAATTGTGCTGGGTCTTAAATGATTCCTGTCTACAAAATTATAAAGGCATTGCAGTGGCTACAAGATCTTCCCCCCTCCATTTCCTTAGTTTATTGTTCATCTACGAGATGCCTGTAGTAGGAGTTGTCAGGTAACTGTAGTTTATCTCTGCTTGGAAAAGAATGATGCTGGCCTTGGTGATTTTCATCTTTCATATGGTTTCTCTCTAGCAGATGCCAATCTTACTATGGCTGTGATGCATCAGATCACTAAGGGCATACGGAAAATAAGTTTTGCTTCAGCAGATGAGGACTCAGGTACCTGTTCTGTCCCCTGTGCCTCTGCAGCTGGAGTGTTTGCAGTCCCCAGAACTCTACCCACTTCCCAGTGCTTTCTCTTCCTGAAGTCTACTACTTGGAGTTTTATTTTAGATGAGCTGTTTGTGTGGCTGATTGCTTGCCTTTTTTCAGTTAAAACAAGGTATTGGTTGCGTAATTGCTGTCCACCCACATTTCTGCCTACCTGTGTTTATTAATAAAGATCTATGTTTAGAGCTTCAACCAGGGCAACTGCAACCAGTTCAGCTGGAATATCTTAGAAAGGAATGAATAAGGAAGAGTAGTGACTCCTCTAGCTGGCAGCAGTAGGTAATGTGTGTCTGTACCCTTGAACCTGATGACTTTTACAAGTTTGTCCTCTTTATCTTTGCCATGGCATCTTTCAAACCTGTATCTGCTCTGGGATAAGCAAATTATTTGGTTGCCTCCTTGACAGCAGAATTGAGAGCTCTTGAGGATCTGACCAGTTGAACCAAAGTCTATGTTCTGAAAACTGTTGTGGATATTTGAAGTGCCTTCTGCCTTTCTTCTGTTAATCTGTTTGGTTCTTCCTCAGTTTTTTTAATCCTGATTTAATCAATGTGTTAATGTCATAGTCATTTGCATTGACAAATGCAAGAACTCTTAACTTGAAATGAAAGGAACGTGTTGTAGAGATGCTTGTCTGCTATTAACTCCCTGGATTTAATCATCTATGGGCTTGGCAGTCATTACTGGTAGAAAAAATGTTCTCAGTGATAGATCATGAAACCGTTTACTAGTAAGTGTTGGTTGTTCCCCTTTCTTTTAAATAAGCTGTAAGGGGTGTATAATATCAACCAGAAATTATGAAGTAAGTCCTGTATCTTCCCTGAAAATTTACTATTTGATCCACATGCAGGTTTTATATTCTGGAGGGTATGAGCAGGAAGTTTAAGCTTCCTCTACACATGCATGTGTAGAGGAATGTATGTGTGTATTTTGGTTGATGTATATATTTTAATGTTCGTGACCCTAACGGTGCAAGACTAGTGACTGAATGATGGGTGAGAATAAGAGATCAAGAAAATTATATATTTGGGTTCAAAAATTTTATATGAAGTTTCATTCCATGTTTTTCCTGTGAAACACTGGATAAATAACTATTCAACAGTTTTCTATTCTGCAGTAAGACATGAACTCTTGCCTCATAGGGTGCTGTGGAGCTTAAACAATTGTAAATTGCTTTTAGAGCCTCTGTTGGGGAAGTACTGTGGTACAGTTGTGATGATGTTAGTTTGGTTTTTTTGTTTTCCTCATGTTGTTACAAGGCAGGAAGTTTCAAATAAGGAATAACATCTTGTCCTTAACTGGCCCCATTTTCATAACATACTTCACAGACTACCAAGTAAGACTTTGCATGAAATTACATAAACTTCCTTTGTTTTTTTGCAGTCAAAATAAAAATTACTGAGAAGAAAAGCAAGTAGATCTTGAATCTGATTTAACTGAGCTTCAGTGAGTTTGGGACAGAATTTTGATGGTGTTCACGATTTTAGCTTTGCTTTTCTGTCTCTTTAAAAAAAGAGGGAAAAAAGGAGATTTATTGTACAACCAGTGCAGCCCATTGGTGTTTCTGTAGCTTTGAGAGAAGGGTGGGAACATGTTTTACACACAGACTTGCAGGTTTTGGTGCTGGGTGGGAATGTGTTCTGTTGGAGCTCTGCTCTGGGAGGTGTTGGGTGTGCTGGGAGCAGGGCAGGCATGCGCCGAGCAGGAATGAGGAAGTGAAGCACTTGCTGCTGCCACTCCAGGGTGTGCACAGAAGTTTCAGAGAGCAAACAGGAGGGGGGAAAATCCTCAATCTGTCGGAACTACTCTTCTGGGCTTATCGTATGTGTTGTTCATGGAGCTTCCCAGGCAGAGGTAAGAAGCTTTTTTTCTTCTACCTACTCTTCTCTGATCAGGCCTGGACTTCCCCTCTCTCTTTAGTTTTATTTCAGAGGTTTTTTCTGTGGAACTGGATATGGAAAACATAGCTAATGTGATTTATTCTTTTCTGTGAACTGTGAAGTTGGCAGTACAAGGTGTTTGTATAACAACCCATTACTTTTGGCTGGTCAGGGTTTCCCATGGGTTGTCAGGTCAGTTTTTCCCTAAAATTAAATTCCGGACTTTTTAAAGTCAGGGGAAAGAAGAAAGATACTTTAGTGTCCTCAGTAATGCTGTTGATTACAACGAGCACATAGGAGTAGAACATAAAAAGGTTTTTTTACCAGTTTTATGGTAAAAATCTGTCTGTTTGGCACTGGGCAAGTATGGAGGGGTTTGGCTGGTGGCTAGAACTAGTGGGGGTCTCTGGTGATCCTTGTGAGTTAGGAATTGTTTTCCTGTTGTCTGTTAATTTAATTTAGGCTGTTGATTTATTTTTAATCTCAAAGTGTCAGAGGGGTTTTGAAATAGTTAATGTGTCATAGAACCAGTCTCACAGGAGAGAGAACTGCATGTGGTTACTTCTCAGAAATGTGCAAGTTCTTACTAAGGAGTAAGAGTCTTTAAAAGAATTAATGAAACGATGTTTTCTTTATTAGATTAAATAATAGATTAGCCAAGAGCTGTATTTGCGTGAGCAGATCGGTTGGCAAGCCTGAGTTTTTTTTGGCAGTGAGGAGCTGCTGTAGTGTTAAGCTTAGCACTAAATAGGCTTTACTTGTGTTCACTGATAACTGCAACAGGAAGCTCTGCTCGGTTTAGTTCTGAGTAGGACTCAGCAAAAATGAAACGGCTTCAGGACTAAAAGAACAGACAATTAAAACGGTTATTCAGACTTTTGGTCAAGAAGGCGATGACACTGCTTGGGGAAGAAAAGCTGAACGAAATGCTGTGGGGAATAAGTAAAAGCCAGGAGCAGGTAATGCTCTTGTTTCCTCTGAAAGGGCACAAACTGAGCCGACGGTGCCCCTGAGGTGCTGAGTCATCTGCTTCAACTGTGCCATGACTTGCTGGGGAGAGCAGGGAGGACTCAGTGCTGCGAGGGTGGCACAGGCTGGGGCTGTGCTGGTGCACGCTGCGCCCCAGTCCTGTGTTTGGGAGAGAACCCGAACCCGGGCAATGCTGGGACCTGCCCCGAGGGACTCCCTCGGACAGCGGAACTTCAAGGGATGGGGATTTTAACTGGGAGCGCAGGAGTTTTCCTTTGTGTCATCCTGTGTGAAACTTGATGACAGTGGATGTTGGTACAAAGTGTTCTGCATTTTGCAAACAACTTTTTGTCGAGAGTTGAATCTGCAAAGCTCCCTGGTGACATGTGGAAGGCTCTGGTGGCCACAGACATAACACAGCGTGGACAGGAGGCTGCATTCCCCCTCTCCATTGTAGAGTAAGGAGCGTGATGAAGTGTTGGGAAGTTGTCCTGGTGGTTTATGGAATGATCCTGCCTTTCTCTGAAGCACTGGCAGGGTCCCAGAAGAGACGGGTCACTGATCTGATTACAGCGTGACATTTCCATCCTTGGTTGAAGGATGGAATTTCAAGGATTTTTGGGGGGCTGGGAGACCCAGAAAAGAGCAGGAATTTTTCCAGGTGATTCTGGCTGTGGATAAAACAGCTTATGCAGGGCTAAGCTGGAGGACAAGGCTTGCATACCGGTATTTTATATTTTCATGCTCAGAAATAATAAAATCAATCTATCTCTAGTTTAGTGTGGTATTTTGTGTCTTGGAGTATCTTCATGCTTAATTACACCTTTTTGTCTTCCAGTTTATGTACTGTGATGTGCCTTTTTAGTTTTTTGTTTTCTTGAGTTTTGACATATCTTTATTTTCTTCAATCACGAACGAAGTGTATGTAGATACGTGTTTAAGGCATTAGAAGGTATCAGGTGTGAAATAGTGAGTTGAGTTGGGTTAAAAACGTAATATTATGGAAGTGGGGGCTTATTTAAATGGTTATGTCTTTTATAAATGTTTACATTCTTTGCATTTTTCTCACCTCTGGCATAATGCTGGAAAGAAACATATTTAAAAACAAACAAATTGCACCATGAAAGTGAATATGCTTTTCCTACCTTATCTGTACAGGGAAGTGTTCTCCTTCTGTGGTGATGTTCTAATAGCTGACTATGGTAATGAAACTGTCTTGTTTCCATTGTTTGATTGCCATCTCTAATGTCTACTGTTTAAAGAAGCTCTTTGAAGTTAGATACTATTTTTTCCCCAGTTATTTCCAAGGTCATAGCAAGTCCTAAACCTTGTGACAAGGCACACACCTTTGCCAGCTTCGCTTCTGAACGTGTCTACCCCATCTGGATGCTTTGTGCCTGAGAGAATTTTATGTTGTATCTCAGCACTTGGCTCTGCTTCCATGTGTGAAGGTTGAGGATCCAGCAGGAAAATGGGACCATATATGTGGAAAGCTGTGGCGGCAGCAGCAGGACTTGGTTTGGTGCCAGCCTGTATTGTCTGTGACTCGTCAATCCTCAGTCCCTGTGATGCCATTCCTGTCTTCTGTGGGATCGGAGGAATTCCACAGTTCCGTGCTGATCTGATTTATTAGCAGTGCAGGGTTTGTTGCTCCAACAGCTATTCTTCTGTGGGGAAGAGGTTGGCTGTATCCTGCCAGTTAGCCATCTGTTCCAGCAGCCAGGCTGTGCTGGAGTAGATGACTTTCTGAGGCTTCTCCCAGCCCTATATTCTGTTCTCAGTGCTGTCTGTGGCCTTCCTTTGCCATGGAGGCACCTGGACACATCCACAGGCACTGTGGAGTCTCTGAGAGTTCTGATTATGTATAAGCTTTGCTTCCCTTGTTTCCCCCAGCCTTTTGAGACCTGCCTTGACGTGGGATTATGGATGCCACTAATTACTCCCTCCCTCCCTAGACTCCCCAAACTTCTCTTTCAACTTGATTTTGTAAATAAATATGACCTATTTCATTATGCCAGAGCTAGAGGTAGGAACAGCATGTCTCTGTTTACTGGGGTTTTTAAATTAGTTAACTCATATTAAGGTTGCGTTTAACTCCTTTGTTCCAGTTCAGAGCCTGGGATGGTGGAGTCTCCATGTCCACGTCCACCTTTTATTCTTGATGGTACAGCTTCATATTAGCTGCTGGTTTTAAATCTCCTCAGTTAGTAAGAAACTGTTCTTAATGCTTGGTTAATAATCTGTGTTTCACATAGGTTGTTCAGTTTGTTTCTGAATTGCAGATGAGTCTGGGAAATTGTTGGTAGATATCTTAATAGCAGTGTGGCCTAAAGGAAACAATGTGATTCAGCTCTCAGATTTTGAACCTCCGATGGTATTTCATAACACTAGATTTATCAAACTGTGTTCTGCTCTGTGCAGAAGGACTTCTGTGGAGTTTCCAGCTAATTTCTCTTGCAGATTTGGTTTACAAAGAGTAATTCTGGCTGGAATACTTGATACCAAAGTTTACTTAAAATATAAGGAAGCAAGGGAGAGCTCGGAAATAAATTTCCTGGATGTTTTAGTAAGTTAGTTTAGTGAAGTAATTTAAAAGTATGAAAGATTTCACTTGGGTTATGGTGTTACAAGTAATGGAAATGATCTGCCTGTCTGCTGACAAGATGAAAAAAATGAGTGCTTTGCTATTAAAGAGGTGATTTGGAGGGGGAACCCTGAACAACCTTGACATCTTCTGGTTGTGCAGTGGTGGTGGTAGGGTTAACCACATGCAGTGCCTCTTCCTCTGCCTGGATAATATTGATTTCTTATTAATCCCTTTTGGGCTGGGCACCAGGGCTGGTGGAGTTGTACATTGTCTTTTGAAGAGACAAGTGATTTTTTTTCATAGAATCATGAAGTACCCTGAGCTGAAAGGGACACACACGGATCATCCGAGTCCAATTCCTTTTCATTAGCTTTAAAACTAAGCTTTAATGTTTGATGAAACGTGGCTAAAAACTTAACTAGTAACTCTTCATTGTTTGCCTTGGCAAAATGATGTTAATGGTGAACAACATTGCACTAAATTCTTGAAAAAATGCCTGAGGCTTTTCAGTCTCTGTTTTAGCATTAGATTTTTTTTTGTACTATTTTAAAATGCTTTGATTTTGAATTGCACAACTCTTAATTTGAAGTTTCTCTCTTTGCCTTTAGAATTGAGATTTTAATTTAAATTGTGAGGTTGTTTTTTAAGCTGAGATTTGATGACAGGTTGCTGTTTTGCTTATGTGAGAACTTTCTATCAGAACAGATACTAACAAGCAAGTGCACACTCATGGGTTTGAAACTGAAGCCAGTGGCGTGTGGGAAAGAGAAACTACCACATCTAGGTGGTTGGGCTGGGGTTTTTGTTGGTGTTGAGCTGCTAGATATAGAAAAATTGGTTGTAAATCATTGACCTGCCCTCTCTTTTTTTTTTTCCAACTCCACTTGTGATAGAAAGTAAGCCAGACATCAGAAATTATTTTATTACCAGTTTTCTTTCTGATAATGATTGTTTTCATCCATCTGTTCATTTCTCCTCACATGAGTTCTGCTTTTTCTTTGTCCCAAAGGGATGTCTTTTCTTCCATTGCCTCATAATTAGTAACACTTGATCCTCTTAGCATTTTGATTTGAAAGTGCCAAGTGATAAAGACCTCCTAGGTTTTCCTCTATTGTAGTTTGTGTGATTTCTCAATACATTAAAGATGTTCTTTCTTTGTCAATATAATCTCTAGATAGGCAGGGAATGATGTACATTGGGGTCAGAAAAGGGTCCTTGAGACATTCTAGAAATGTTCTTCCCTCTGAAGGCTGGGAAAGCTCCCACCTTTCCAGAGTCATTGTGTGCCAATCCGGAGCCCACTGGACTCTGAAGAAAGCTTGCTTGTGATAAAAGCTTTGTCTAAGCAAAATTATTTAAAGCTCATAATGAATACCATGAAAAAAAAATGGTTTGGTGGAATAAGCACACCAGCCCTTCAAAAAGGGTCTTTTTTATTCAAATCTTATTGATGTTAATTGGCTCGTTTATGAAGAAAAAAAGAGAACATAAAACTGTAAAGCTAATTAGCCTTATAACTTCAATGAGATAGTTATCTGTTGCCTATTTTTTTAAGCTCTATAACAGCAGAAATGGTTTAAAGTGGCTTTTCCAGTGCCAGAGACTAGCTGGAATTAAAGCAGGTCATGACTCAGTCCTGTATTTAGTGTCAGAACTGCACTCCCTACCTCACATTCCCAGTTCAGCTGTACCTCGACAAGTGCTATTTACTGAGCACAAAGGGTCTCCCGTGCCTGTTCCAGTACAGAATGCTCACTGTGTGTTTCTGCTTCCTTCTAGGTTATGTTTCACACTATGTGCTGACTGTCTGTACTTACAGAAGATATTTAAAAACAAACAGACTTTTTTTTCCCAAGATTTTGATTCCAGTGGAATCTGTGCTTTAGATTTTTGTCCTGTCGATTAACTCCTGAAGCAATGCCTGTACAAGCTCCACAATGGACGGATTTTCTCTCCTGCCCAATTTGCACACAGACGTTCGACGAAACCATCCGGAAGCCCATCAGCTTGGGTTGCGGCCACACCGTCTGCAAGATGTGCCTCAACAAACTCCACCGTAAGGCATGTCCCTTTGACCAGACCACTATCAACACAGACATTGAACTCCTCCCTGTGAACTCGGCCCTGCTACAGCTAGTGGGTGCTCAGGTAACAGTGCTTTGCTTTTCTTCAAAATCAGGGGTTGTGTTACTTTCCTTCTTTCTTTTAGGAGGACAAGTTGTGACTGATGTTAATGGTGTGTGGAGTACTCATCTACCTTTATTGTAAATGTCTACAAAAAGTTACAGAGGTACCTGGAACAATAGTTTAGATCTTGATTCTACTGGTTGCTGACTGTGATTTTTGTTACATGTAATTCAGTGTAACCGTGGGCTGTCGCCAGAATGGGTTTGTTCTGTTCCCTTCCTTCTTCCTTGACTCTTACCTAGTCATGCTCTGCTGAAAGGATGAGCTGGATCAGTGAGTTTATTTAGTGGGAAACCATTCTTCTGTTGTAGGTTATGTGCTTTACTGTACTCACCCTACAAGACCTGTGGCCAGCTGTCCCAAAAGCAGGTCAGAAGTGTAAAGGAAGTGGGACAGACCCCTCTGGTAGCAGCCTTTATACAGCCTTATGTTTAATTTGAAACTGTGCACTGGAAATGCAACTTCCTGAGCTGACATGTCGCTCTAAATCCATGTAGGTGGATAGGGGCAACCTGCCCAAGCCTCCCCTTTTTGCTGGAACAGGTACCAGTGAGGTCAGCTGAAGGGGTGATCTGATGGGGACGAGTGTCCCTGGTGCTGATGACTGCCTCAGGAGAGGCACAGGGGTGTGTGGAAAGCAGGATCGCCCTGTTCAGCTCAGACCTAAATTGGCATAAACTTATCATGCTTAGATCACTAGTAGCTTCCTGTGACCCGCACCTCCCAAAGCTGGGCAGGATTGTGGACCTGAAAGAGGAGGGGCAATCATGTCTAACTTAGGGACGAGGAGTGAAAATGTAAATGGGGACAGTTACCATACAGGGGTGGTTGTTTTGGTTTGTTCTGCTTCCATGTCTGGGCTCAGCAGAGTTGAAATCAGCAGGAAATTCAATGAGGTCCATAGTTCAGGGAAAAGGAAAGAATTTTGTGGAGGAGCTGTAAAAGATGTGGAGGAGAGAAAGATACTCTTATGTTGCTTTTTGTTAGGTACTGGGACCTAGAGATCCAGCCATGCTTTTGCCACTTCTAAGTTCATCAAGTAATATGGCTAATTTGGTGTTATTTTTCTGTGGTGTGTGGCATAGAAGTTATTCTACAAGTTTAAAATGCAGTGATATTTCTGGCTGTGCTGAGTGACTCATCCTGCTCTTCAGGAGAAGGCAGTGAGACTGTGCACTCCCATTTCTGTGATATGCCACCATCTTTGAAGAGCTTCCAAGCACTGAGATCTGTGGGTGATGCCATAAGTAAATATTGTAATTCTCTTTCTCCCTTACGTCTCCTTCCTTCCTCTTTGGAGTTTCTAGAATAGTTCCAGCTGTACCCAAATGTCCACACTTGTGCTAAATGTCTCACATTTTTTCGGTTGGTTTGTGTGCATTTGTTAAGCTTTGTGAGAAGCTATGTGATAAACTTGATCTTTGCCTGAATTACAATTTCCATAAAAACAAGATCCTCTGGAATGAAATGAAAAACCACCCTGCCTCTGTATGGGTAACTGAGAATTTTATTCTGGTTTTGCCAGTTAGCCAGCCAGAGTTTCTCATCCGTATGTGTGAGCTATGAAGAAGGAAGAGAGGCTTTATAGTGTTGTTTGTCTTGAGACTCTGGGTCCTGGCTTTGAACTAATGACAGCATTTCGTGCTCCTTTTTACATCTTAGAATTTCACGTGATCGAGATTCACAGGACCTTGTTCCCTGATGACCTTCAACCTGCAAATGCCACCAAAAGAGACAGTATTCCCACACCCCTCATTTGCCACTCACTGCTGCATGTTTGCTGCTCCCAGCAATTCTGGTACCTAAACGATAATCATGGATCTTAGCTGGATGTTTATTACTGAGAAACTTTCCCCTTAAGAGAAGTTTGCACCACCTTCCCAGCCAGCTCCTAATTTCAACATGTGAATGAAATCAGTGTTCAGTACAACTCACTCTCCTTTCTCTTCCCTGCCCCTTCCTACCAGACTATGGAGTACTAGAAAATAAGTACACTATTTCACTGGGGAGGACAGGGAAACAGTTACTATTTCCCACTAGCCTCTCTAAGGCCATTTTTTAAATCTTCTTAGAGAAAAGGGCTTGATTAAGGACAAATTAAAAAAAAAATTAAAAGGTACTTTAGAGAAACTAGTGATTTTGAACTGTGTCCTGTTTGAGAACGTGGGTTCTCTTTGGTACATATCAACAAAAATGGTCTGTGAGCAGCAATCCAGCTTTCAAAGCATGAGTGGTATTGACTTCAGTTGAAACCAAGCCCATTTTTCTTGTTCCGCTTCATGGTTTAGTTTCAGGAGAGTCTGTGTGTCATTAGTGTCCCTTAATCTCCAACAAACACCTGAACACCTTAAGCTGAGTCCATGGAGACGTGTAATACCTTACTTTTAAACTATAAATTCAAAAAAACCAGGTTTCATTTTAGAAGGAAATTCAGTACAGCACAATTAAAGCTTTTATCTGTGAGGGGGAAGAACAGTTTGTTCTTTTCCCTTTGGGGAGACTTCTGAGAAGTTCACACTTTTATATGTGTTAAGTGCTTTTTTGCTGGAGGCAGAGGAGGAGACCAGGCTGTTTAAAGAAACAAATCTATTCTGCTGTGACTGGCAGCAGTTATGGGATTCCAGGGCAAGTCACTTTGGCACAGTGGGTGAAATAAGCAAGGCTGTACTTCAGAGGGAAAACGTACTAAACTTGTCACACAGTCGCCTGGGGAAGCAGTAACCTATTTCTCTGACAATAGCGTTCTCTCTCTGGGTTGGTTTGCCACTTTAATGGTAAGAAGAGTTGTTTTCTTACTTGAATTACAGACTGTTTCTCAGTTTTCCCTCTCCCCACCCCTTTCCAGAAATGAAACCTGTTGCCCAGGTTATAGCCACCCTTGATGTGAAAATTAACTGTTAGAGGGACTCAAGTTTCTGCCTGCTCCCCTATAGCGTGTTACAGGTCAACAGTGCTTACAGGGGCTGGGAGGCAGTGGTCATGGAATCATCGATTGATTTGGGTTGGAAGGGACCTGGAATCTCATCTCATTCCACCCCCTGCCATGGGCAGGGACACCTTCCATTAGAGCAGGTTGCTCCAAGTCCCATCCAGCTTGGCCTTGGACAGTAGAGGAAGGGGAGATTCCACAGCCCCTCTGGTTGGGTAATTCAGCCCACCAGATTAGATGAGTTCAGCAGATGAGGGAGCAGAAGGGATTATAAGGGGAAGATGAGAATTATTATTCCTGGGAGGACTGGAAATAGTTGAACCCTAAGCAGAGCTAAGCATATTGTGAGGGAAGGGAGGCACAATGGCTTGGGCACAAACCAGTAAGGCACTCCTGGGATACCTTGCTTCTTACACCTCTTGGGTGAAGAAATCCCTTAAGCCTGTTTCTGTGGGAATGGCATTTAGGATTTTAGCTATTCCAGCATCCACATGTTACTCACTACGTGCAACTATTTTAAGCATTCACCTGGCCCGTGTTTTGAAGGTGCATAATCATGGATCTGTCATCTAAGCTCTTCCCTCATGCTTTATTAACCCATGAAGCAGCAGCGTACACATTCCAAACTGGTGACATAGGGTGGCAGAAATGCCTGTGGTGCTTTAATGTCTTTCATAGTCTCCTGTTGGACACAACAGATACATTGGGCAATGGAATCATGTACATGATGAGAGAATGGGTGGAGTGATCTTAACTCACAGCCCTTTCAAAAGGGGAAGATTGCAATTGCAGAGCTATTAGAGGCTTGTTTGATCATTTTTTATTGTAACTTCTGGTGAAATGAAGTGCCATAGAAGAGGAATTATCTGTGAAGAAGTTGTCCCTAATGTAAACCTTTGAGGAACTGAAGACACTAGGCTTTTGTTTGGGTTTTTTGGGGGGGCAGGAAGCAAATCCTCCATTCATAGGGAGGAGGGAGAAAGAGTTTTCAAACCAGACAAAAAGGGATTTAGTCTGTTTAACATGTTCTTGTTCTGTGCAATTAGATGTCTAATGGTAATTAGTGACAACTCAAGCTGACATCCTTCATCAAATTACAGTTAAATCACCAATTCCAAATCACTGCCTGCTATGAGGCGATGCTTTAGCATTCTTTTCCGGTCCCCTTCCTCATGCCGTCATAAGCTGCCTCTTCCCCTCTTCCCACAGCCACAAGCCAAGCTGATGGGCAGCATTCCTCTGCTGGGATCCTCACAGGCATTGCCAAGGCAGATGCAAAACCCTCACAAATCTCAAGCAATTAAACATCTGAGATCATTTTTCCTGTCTCACTCTCGTCCCCCCTGGGAGGTGTCGGTTACATGATGTGAATATATTTGCAGTGAAAACCGTGATAAGGGTGTGGTGTCTGAGAGAATGGAATATGGAATGATCTTGAAAATAATGAACTCACTCTGCAGGGCATATATTCTGGGGCTCTTGAGAGAGGTTGTAAACAGCAGTGACCATAGGGTCATTCTCCATGCATGCTATTAAAAGGATATTTTGCAAAGGGGAAGTGAAAATGCTTTGGAGTTGAATTATTATTTCTCAGTTGTCCCTCAGCAATTTCACGATGGAGCCAAAAATAAAATTCACATTTCCTGTAACTTTTATGAATCACGTCTTTTACAGTTTTTCTCTTGGGAGATGCTGTTCTTACAATCATCCTAACCCTAAAATATTAAAGTAACTCTTGCAAGTGCATAGAATAGAACCAGCAAAAGGAAAATTATTTGTGAATTTTATTGTGAGGTGCATTTGCATGAGTGACGGTGAAGTGTGTGTGGGGAGAAATAAAGGCAGGTAGTGTTGTACAGCTTGATTAACTCCTGGAGGTTTTTCTCTGCCAGCTTTTCCCTGGGGGAGGGGGAAGCTCTCTTTTAGTTGCCTAGGCAGCCCTTGTGTCTCGCTGGTGGCTCTGCTGTGTCTGGCATTCCAAACACGGATCTGAATGTGTGCTAAAGCCCCTTCAGTTCAGGTCCAAAGCCGGGGCTGAACAGGCTTCCTGTCCCAGGCTTCCTGTCCCACGTCTGTCCCCAGCCCCCTTTGTCTGCTAGGGGTTGTGGTTTGAGTTGTAACCGGTGTGGATGAAATGGCTGCAGGATAAGGAGGAATTTTCACAAAATCTATGCCCACAATAACGAAGGCAGGGATGGGGCAGGCTCTGTCTGGGCACACGTGCCGGAGATGTCTTTGGGTAGCGGATCCAGTTCTGTTGGGTGACGGCCTAGGCAGAGCCTTATGCTAAAATGGCAGTGGCTTCAAAAGGGAGGTGTGCAGTGTTCTGTCAACATGCAAGTAAATATCGAAGGTGTTAGTATTTGTTTCCCAGATCCCAAGAAACCAGTCTGTTGTGACAGTTAGGTCTGACCACTGTAAGATCCATTTGTGAAATCTCCTTTTGCTGAAAACTTTCTTGCTCACAGACTCATAAAACCCCTCAAATCCCGAAACCAAAACACCCCAAACAAATCCTGTCCCAAAATTAAAACCAAAAAACCCAGAACATGACAAGTTAACTGCAGTCAGTGAAAAGGCCAACCTTGCTGTCTTGGCTTTGGTTTTCCCTTTAATGGGAGTGAAAGAGGCTGTGCCTGATCGAGACTATCTTGATTATGTTAGTCTTGGGATGGTATCAACTATCTTAATTGCAGCTGATATTTTGCACTCTGAGATTATTTTTGTTGCCTGCTGTAAAAGCAAGAGTCAGGTAGATAGTAATTTTTTATTTTGCTCTGTGTGTCAAATGAGCAACTCAGCAGAGATTGTTGTGTAAGGAGAAGGGTGATCATGTAGTTGAAACATTACAGTCTATTAAAATAGATGGGAAAGCTCCTGTCCCCCCCCGTTGGTGTTGACAACTGTATCTGTATGTCTGTGTATATGTATATATATATATATATACAATTTATATATATTCCCTGCTTTTATTCAGTGCTGCCATAACACTGCTTTTCCCAGGGCTGGGTTGCACGTGAAGGTGGGTGGGTTTGTAGCTGTATTTAACTGAGGCATTAAAGGCTTGTGCTTGTCGATTGAGGGCCTGGATTGGTCCCCATAAGCAGCTATGTGGGATTAGCAGGCTGTTATTGCCAATGGGATAGGGATTGACTTGGAAATAGAACTCTGAGATCTGTTTTGTGCTTTGACAGCATATGCAAAACGTGCTTGTGTTTAGTCTTCTGAGAAATTCCAGTTCTCTGTGCTGTCATGTTGGGTTGACTGCTGAATAGTGATGTTGAGAATGTTAGTGCAGTGCTATTCTGCAGCCTGAAATTTGCTTAAAGCTTTTAAGAATTAACCTGGAGGAAGGCAAAAACAAAATCATAACTTGGGGAAGGAGTGGCCCAAATCCCTTTGAAAAGTCCTGATTTCTGATGAATGTCTGGATGAAGACATTTCACTGGGAAAAAAAAACAAACAACCAAAACCACGAATGTCAGGGGTGTGTTCATATGCACTGTGTAGGATAACTTGGTCTTGCTGCTTGTTAATTTGATCTAGTCAGAATATGTTCCAAGGGCGTCATAGTGTATTTGCTACTAAATCTTTCTCCTGCTAATCTAAGTAGCTGTAATTTATCCCTGGATGATTTTAGAGCTGTGAGCTCTAGATACAAATCAGTACTTACCTGCAGACCAGGGTTCTTCTGATTTATTTTTTTTTATTTTTCCCCCCCCGATTTTTTTTTGGCCAGCCAGCTTTGGGGATGTTTCAATGTGCGTTATTTTAGCCAAAGTTTTGTAATTATAGGAAGTGCCATGTTAAGCCTCCTCCTTCTAGTTCCTGTCAGCCACTAAATAAAGGAAATCTACTAAACATAAATTCTCTGTCCTTTTGTTTTCATTTCACTGGGGTTTCTTATGCTGTTTGTTCAGTAAACAAGCTGAAAAAATGGTTATTAATACAGGAAAAACACAGAAGGGAAATAAAACAGGAAATGCTTCATAGTAACAAGTGTTTGTAAGCATGACTGTCACTTGTTTATGCATATTCATGTAAATGTACATGTCATCCCCCTCCAGGTTCCTGAGCAGCAGCCAATTACTTTATGCAGTGGAGCTGAAGACACCAAGCATTATGAGGAGGGCAAGAAATGTGTGGAAGAATTGGCATTGTACCTCAAACCACTCAGCAGTGCCAGAGGTAGTTCCTGCATTGCTGCCTTGGACAGTGAGAGTGGGAAACAAATAAGATGCAAAATAAACTATCCAAATGATTAGTTAGTCTGTTTGAAAAAATGAATATAAACCTAGTTTAGAAACAAATTGAAGAAGATTTCCTAAACATTAAGATTATGTTTTCATGGTGGGGGTGTGGGTGTGGAATTGTGGAAGGTGTCAAAAGTAATTCTGAGAAAAGGCTGAGCTATTTGGCCATGATATAGTGAGCTGAGACAAACTCTGTAAATTGCTTTGGCCTCTGCAGACTAAGTAAAAATAGACTTTTTTCAGTTCTGCTTTGTGATAACAAGATCTTACACAGGAGCTGTATCAGTCTGAGTAATTCTAGTTTAGCAAACCTGCACTGTGGTCAATAGTATGGATTTTATCTGCACCACATGTGCTGGACTCGGACAATCTGTCAGCCCAAGGAGTGGAGTTGAGCATCCTGGGCATCAGGTTTTCAGAAATGAATTTTTACAGGGAGTTGTCTCAGTCCTTTCTGCCCAGAACAGTGTGACAGCAGCATGACTCTGGGTAGTAGTGGCCCGGTGAACAAGCCCTGGCTGTGCAACAAACTCAGCATGGCAGCCATTTGCCTAGTGAGTCACTCGTTCCTTTATCCCGGATTAAGTGGCTCCCAGCACTTTGTGAATCAGAGTTTTTGCACCCCAGGCGGTTCAGGACTCATGTGTAAGCTCAGTTTGGCTGGGCCAAAGCAGTGGAGATATCAGATGTAGGCAGGAAACTAAATGTCTTGTGAAAACAAACCAACATCCCAGTGATCCCTGAAGTTCATGAATAAGGGATGAACTGAGAGTGTGGGACAAACTACCCTCACGATGAGAGGATTCATTAGAGGCTCCACCTTCTTAGAGAGCCAAATCAGCCAATCACAAGACTTAAACCTGTGGGGAAGCTGACTCCCAGGAGACTGCTTTTAATGCCAAATAAGACAAGGTGGCAAAAATGAACATCCGATATGCCTTGTGCAGTGCTCTGTTTGACAAAGTGGACATCAGGTTTGCACTGTACAGTACAGTCACTGAAGGCTGGCACAAAAAGAGGAAATATGAGATGGTTTATTGCTCTGTTTCATTTTGTTTTGAAGGTGTGGGTCTCAACAGTACTACTCAGAGCGTGCTGAGTCGTCCCATGCAGAGGAAACTTGTGACATTAGTCCACTGCCAGCTGGTGGAGGAGGAAGGGCGGATCAGAGCCATGCGAGCGGCGCGGTCACTGGGCGAGAGAACAGTCACAGAGCTCATTCTCCAGCACCAGAACCCTCAGCAGCTCTCTTCCAACCTCTGGGCTGCAGTGAGGGCCAGAGGCTGCCAGTTCCTGGGGCCAGGTAGGTGACATGGCAGTGCCACTGCTGTGCTGGAAGCCGTTTAGAACTGAGCCATCGGTAAATCAAATTGCCCAAGTGGTATTATTAGGCAGCAACTTAATTTCTTAATAGTAGGTTGGGCTGTTGGGCTGCTGTCATGGACTTCCTTGCATTTTTAGTGCTTTTGCAAGTCTTCTGTGAAATTCAGAATAACGTGTGTCCTTATCTTGTCATAAGATAAATGAGAAGTAGTTTCTCTTGCTATTCCTTGAAGAAGTAAGACCCTCCTAGAAAAAATAAGTTTACTAGAAGAGGCTGGACTTGGCTTCTTTGCCTTCTTCGGGGTAATAAACATACATACCAGTTGGGGGGATAGATTTATTACAGTTATGTGTACGCATTTTTAAAAAGTTATGTACTTAGAAATTACATTCCTTTGCTTAGAATACCAGAAAAAATCAATTTTGCTTAAAAAAAAAGTCTCATTATGGAAAATATAGGCTTCACTTTTTGAGTCTTGAAATATGCAGCCAACTTCTTAAACTAAAAATACGCTAAAAATAAAACTTTTCCCCCACTGAAACAGATTAAGAAGGGCTGACTTTGAGATGCTCACTTTGGTACCACTCCAGGCAAGAGAGAGGCTTGTTACCAAGCAAAATAGAGGTGCTGCAGCACCTGAGTTATTTGCGTGAGCACTCATTGCTGTTTTACCTGCATGGGAATGAACCTTGCCCTTCCTCAGCCTGTCAGCATTTTCTGCTGGAGTAGGTGTGGGACATAGATAATACACTTGGAAAACTCTTACATTAATAATGAAGAGGTGTACAGACAGGAACAAAGAAGTCTTCCTATCAGATGGTACCCAAAATAGATGAAATAATAATTTCATAATTTCATGTGGGTTTGTGTGTGTGTGTTGGGGGAGTTTGTAGCTGGTCTCCCACTTGTAGGGAACCAAGAAATTGTGCACTTCTCTCATCCTTTGTCTCTTTTCTTCATGTTTCCCCCCACCCTCAGCAATGCAAGAGGAGGCTTTAAAGCTGGTCCTGCTGGCTCTGGAAGATGGATCTGCTCTGTCACGAAAGGTCTTGGTTCTCTTTGTGGTGCAGAGGCTGGAGCCCCGATTCCCTCAGGCTTCCAAAACTAGCATTGGGCATGTTGTCCAGCTCCTGTACAGGGCCTCATGCTTCAAGGTATGAAGAAGATTCTGCCTGGAGATTTCATAATGCTATGAAAACTGTTTGTTTGCACTTTCGAGTTTCCTTTTCCTGTAACATTAAATGTGCCTAAAAAAATGTGTAGTCATAGAAAGTATTGCTCATTAAATCCCATGTGTGTTTGGAGAGTTCTTTGTACAGCTGTGATGGCAGCATAGGCTGAAACTGCAGCTTGGAGCTCTAAAGCTAGGATTTTACTCTGTCCAGTCTAATAGATGCACAGTTACAAAACCTGGATGTAAGCCAACATTCTTATCTCCTTAGAAGTGGCTTAATGCTGGAAGATCCCTAGTTCTGTTAATTCACTGGTGATGTGGTCACAAACGAAATAGGAGCCTCTTGGACATGAGAGTTGTATGAAGAGAACTTAAGATGTCTAGTGCACTCTGTAGTATTTAATGATCCTTTAGTTAGGTGTTCAACCTAAATGTAATTCACTTTTGCTAAATGAGTAGCAAAATGCTTTGGTTGTGCTAATTGTACCCTCAAACAAAATTCTGAAATGCAGATCTCCTTGATTGGAGAAGTAAGGTGTGAACGCTGTAAAGTCAGTTAGGAAGTGTGACACTTTCACCAGGTCAGAGTCTGAGTAAATGATGTTTTTTATCCATTTTATGGTGGCTCGTCTCTTCATAGAGTGTATTATTTTAGCAAAAACTGATGTTCACTGCATATTGTCATACTTGAGTTTAGTTTGGGACGAAGGACTTAGTTGCTGACTGAAGATGTCACTTGTCTTGGTCTTCACATAATCTCTGGCTTATCTTGCTTAATTGCCTTTGACTCGTTTTTCCCCACTAGGTGACAAAGCGAGACGAGGATTCCTCCCTGATGCAGCTGAAGGAGGAATTTCGGACCTACGAAGCTCTGCGGAGGGAACACGACTCCCAGATAGTTCAGATAGCCATGGAGGCGGGTTTACGCATCGCCCCAGACCAGTGGTCCTCGCTGCTCTATGGAGACCAGTCTCACAAATCCCACATGCAGAGCATTATCGACAAGGTAAAGCCACCTCAAAGCAGCCCAGCCCTCCTTGGATGCAGCTGTGGTAGATTTCGGGGCTTGTATTTACAAACTATGCCCATGTGTACTGCCCTGTAATCATTTGCCCTGTTATTTCAAAGCCCGTTATGCCCTAAATAATTAGAATATCTATTTATAACCTGATGAGTCTTGCTCCCTCTGCTATCCTGCTGTCTCTTGCTACTTTACTTCTTTCTGCAGATGGGAAGCCACAAAGTTCAGCTACACAATTGGGATGTGACCTTTGTGAACAGCTGACAACTAGCAGTGTAGTGACAGAGGTTAATGGTCTGTGTTTCTGGGCAGGAAACAAATCAGTCCCCCAGCCTATAGCTGAAGTAAGGCACAGAGGTAGAAGCATATTTTTAAATAAAATATTTGACCTCTAGAAATGCCCAGATCTCTTTGTGTTTAGAAGCAACATGGGCTTTTAAATTAGGGGACTCACACTGTAAGTGCCTAAATTGAGTGGGAAAAACTGAATCTTGCTGAATGGTTAGGAAAGCTGTGAAACAACTGCATTGGCTGCTGTGCAGGAGAATTAGCTTCAAGATCTGTCTGCGGTGTATTTATGCCTTTGCCCACTTTTTCAAATGTTCTGCCAGACATCTCCTGAAGGACCTAGGTAGAATTCAAGGGTTTTTAATAATGGAGTTGTGTGATGTTAGTAAATGGAACGTTGCTATTTTTTCCTTGAACCATCTTGCTCTTTGTTGTCTGCTGTACTCAATTTAAAGCAAGGTGCAAACCTGCTGGGGGGCATTGAAGATATTAGACTCTTCAGAAATCTAAATTGAATGGTTTCTAATATTGTCCATTTTTAATCTGGGTGCCAGCACAACACAGAAGAAATGGGTTTTACTGCTAGAAATAATACTAGCATCTGTTTTGTCTGTTTAGAGCTGTATTTTAACCTGCAATGTCAGAGAATTGTGCATTCTTGGTAGAAAGGGCTTGCTGAAATGGGCTGGTGCGTAAAAAGGTTTTCCTTCAGATTTGGGAGACAGCTCTTGTGAGCTTGTGGAGCAGCCTTCAGAAATCCATGAGGATTGCTTTGCCTGTAGAAAGTTAATTATGATAATTTTTTTAAGTTGCAGACCCCAGCCTCATTTGCACAGAGTGTTCAGGAATTAACTATTGCTCTGCAGAGGACTGGAGATCCAGCTAACCTGAATCGTCTGCGACCTCACCTAGAGCTCCTGGCAAATATTGATCCTAGTCCAGGTAAGTCTGGAAAACCTGTAACTTAGGGTTTAGCCAGGAGGAGCTTAACACAGTGGAAAGATTGAAAGCTGATCATCAAGTATAAGGAAGCATCCTGTGACTCATCAACTGAAGTTTCTTGGGTGGTATTCAAAGCCAGCCTGAACAGCAGTAATCTGTGTGAGGAACTGAACTATTCCAAAGCTAAAATAGCTTCCAAAGTATGGCAGGAACCATTTCACCGCCTCTCTGAGGTGAGCTCCCTTGTTTGCTGGCACTGGATGAGCTCTCATGAGTGTTCAGCGCATAATCCTGTGAGGTGACATAGGGTGTACTTGGGCAGTGCTAATGTGGGGAGTGGCAGCACTCTGAGGTTCCCTCTTTTCTCTGTTTTAGTCCACATGCTGCTGTTTTAACCACATTGCAAAACAGCAGGAAGATTGACAGAGCCACTGTGTTTAAAGCAGAACCTGAGCTGTCACTGAGATGCCTTTTTCTCTCCATTTCTCTACTGCAGCAAATAATTTGTTAACCAACTTGGGGAAGTATTCAACTCATCAGATTAAGGACTTCCATTAACTTATTGAAAATTGTATGTCTTTTTCTTTACTCAGGAAGTTCTTTGTATTAGTTTTTGATCTGAGATCTCCACCCTGCAGACATTGCACTCAGAATTCTCTTAGAGGCAGCTTAAAATCATAAGACATCTTCTGTATAAAGAATTTTGGATTCCACAGTAGAATTTTGATAGACTGAGTAGACAGAAGCTGGACAAAAATTAGTCTAGACAAGAAAGATTTGTTACCTTCAGGAATTTAGTGTTTTTCTTGTTAATGTATAATTCTGCAAAGGTGGGAAAGACAGTCTGGGAAGGTGAAGATAGCTGAAAAGAATATAAGCTGTTGACAGAGGAGAGAAAGATGAATATTGTTGATTAAAAATCAGCGGTGCTGTGAGGGTGGACCGGTTGAGGGAGAAGAGAAGGGACAGAACAGAGTGCTGTGGCTGAAGTTTTATTTCATACCTGTAAGCGTGTAAAATCATTATGAGTCAAAATAGTGTGAAGGCCTAAAGTATCACTTCAGGAGATGAGAAGTTGTAGTTCTTAGTTTCTGTATTTTAAACAAATAAACTTCCCTTTCAAATGAGGACCAGATGTACTTCACAGCTAAAGGAAATGTAGTGCTTTCTTCCCAAATCTTTCATGCTGAAACAAGTGAGGGACAAAACTGTGTGTGCGCTGCAGATTTGTTAGCCAAAAACTGCTAAGGGAAGTAGCATCACTGAGAGCCTCACTTGGTTTCAGCAGGCAAGTCTGGTCTTGATGGTTCTTTTCTGTGCTGTTGAGTTGCTTTCCTGCTATTCTGTGGGCACGTTGGAAGTACCTCTGGAAGAATTTAGGCCTTGTGAGTGGAATCTAATGTAATTAATTGTGCTAAAGATCTTGAAGGGGACTTTGAGGTCCTGTGCTTTGCAGCAGTGTGCAGGTATGGGGTGGGAGGGTCAGCTGTTGGCACAGATTCAAAAAATTAGAGAAGTAAATTAGCTGAAAAAACCCTCAAGTGCTCCTATAGAATTGAGACTGTACAGTTTATTCACAGTGCTGTGTGTTAGATGGTGGTCTGAGACAGATTTGCCTTGTGATGTTTTTTCCAAGTGAGAGGCATCGATTCCTGTTGCTGCTCCGTGACTGTGCCTGTGGGATCAGGCCAGTGATCAGGTATTTGTATGGAATGATTTTACCTGCAGGAGTCTGAATGCAAAGAGGGATTTTCAGCCTGATGTTTTTCGTTATGTGAAGTTTGTACAGTGCATTTACTCTGGAGCTCTTGTGAGATGAAAGTTCTTATAAAAGGAAATAATTTGGCATGCTAAGAAGTCTTACTGGCTCATTTGGTGTTTTGTGCAGTTCAGTCTTGAGTCTGTAGGTCCCTTTATTCTACAAGAGGTAAATACCCTGGAATTAAGTTGCTGAATACTTTTTATGTACTGATAAACACTTCTACTTGTCTAGTGAAGTTTTGTGATCCTGATGGTTTGTTGGTTTTTTTGTTTTCTTTTTTTACCTGGCTTTAGAAAATCCCTCTGATTTTTCTTTTTCTATTCTCTGTTTGCTGTCCATGCATCAGATGCTCCACCTCCAACATGGGAACAACTGGAAAATGGACTAGTTGCTGTGAGAACTGTGGTTCATGGCTTGGTTGATTATATCCAGAATCACAGCAAAAAAGGAACAGATCAACAACAGGTAAAAGCTAAATCACGTAGGAAATCCTGACCTTTGAATTTGATTTGCTGTATCCAATGTTTACTAATGTCGTCTGGAGAGATTTGGCTTGATGAGGAGCTAATTGAAATATCACTGCTGGGTCATACTTATCAAAAAAGAAACAAGGAAAAAACCTCAAAACAAACTGCTCCCCAAAACCTGTTGAAATAATTTTCACAGCTCACTGGGATGAAAAGAAAAGAGTCTGATTCAGCTGCAGGCTGAGGGAAATAAATAACAACCCTCCTGACTGGAGGGTGGGGAAGGGATGCCAGGGTGCAACTATTATCTGTAGGATTTTCTTGGGTTTACCTTCTGTGCCATATTTCAGCCAACTGGCTCTGTGTTAATGAAGTTATTCTTACACCTGTGCTTAATGGTCTGTCAAGTTTGAAGATTTAAGAATACTCTATGTAAAGGTGCAATCCAAGTTCCTGAACCAAATGTTTTTGTTTCAGAAATGAAATTATGTTGGCAAATATTATGCTTAAGCTTATCTCACTGTTATCTAATCACACATTCCTTTGGTCTCACTTGTTGGGTAGCTCAGTTGCTGTCAATGCTCGCTGCTGCTGAAAGGCAGAGCTACCTGTCTCAGTCCCACTCCTCCTCTTGGAGAGCTGCTCCAGGGAGCTCAACCAGTAGAAACATTACTCTGCCAAAAAAAAGGCAAAAATAAAGTGAATTATTTCTGCTATTTCACCATTCTACATTCAGTGGGATGGCTAATGAGCACTGTCACCAGCAAAAGGAAAAGCAGTAGGAATGCACAAGTGGGAGTCAGGGTGGGAAAAACACTGAGGACTTTTGTTCTTGTGAGCCCGTGGCCTAGACCTGGTATAGGCTGTGCCACTTGGAAGGGAACCTGGAGCCTTCCCAGTGGGAAAGGGACGTCTGCTGGGCAGTGGGCAGAGCTGTGCTGCCTGGCAGCATGGCCAGCACAAGGCTCTGCAGCTCAGGTACACCCTGCCTGCATCTTTTTTTCACCACAGTAGATGATAAAAAAATTAAAAATCAGTTTGCAAATGACTTCTTAGGGATTTACACCTTTTGGCTGAGCTTCTCAGAAAGCAAAAGTTGACTTCTACAGACCTTTCCCTCCATGGGAGCTCTTGAGTAGGGTATTTCTGTCTCTGATTTAATTCTGCTGCAGAAACTGTAGGAATTTAAAGGACTTTGAGACCCCCTCTTGGCCTTCTGTCAGCCTTTATTTAGAGGGACTGGCAGATGGGTGACCATGCAGACAGTAAGATTGCAGTAAGTTGTTGTTTCTTGGGGAACTTAACTAAGAAAAATGCAGAAGACAGCCCATCCCCTGCTGCTCTGTGTAGGAGTAAGATTGCACCCTCAACTATTGATGGAAACAATTATAGATAGTGAAGATATTTTTAGTGCAAAAGGGGGTAAAAGGAAAGGTGGTGAAATTTAACTCATGCAGATCAAAGGATACTCAAGTGCCATTTTGAGCCAACAGAAAGCAAAGAAGAAGCAACTAAATTGTATTTATTTTCAATCTACCACATAACTTGATAAATATTTGGTAATTTCTGATTATCATGGTAATTTTTTCATCCTAGATCAGTTTTGTCCGCTTAACTGTGTCCTGAAATGTGTAGCTGTGTTCCAGTTAGAGCCTCCAGTAAAGAATTTGAATTAAAATGTTGTAGAAACCTGATAGTGACTTAGTTGTCAAAACATCTACTCTTGAGTCTCTTGGTTCCCTGGAAGAACCAAACATCTGCTCCAGTCATTTATTTCCCATCAGGTGCTCCTGAAACATGTAAATTGAAGGAATTATCAACAGGCCTTGGCTAAGAGGATACCCTTAGCTCTTGGTTAAGTGCACATTGAAGTTGAGATGTCTCACCTGGTTTCTTTACCCTTGTCAGCCCCCTCAGCACAGCAAGTACAAGACATACATGTGCCGAGACATGAAGCAGAGAGGAGGATGTCCCCGGGGGGCCAGCTGCACCTTTGCACACTCCCAGGAGGAGCTGGAAAAGTAAGTGTACCTCTGCTAGTAGAAACCAGTCCAATCTTTGCTTCATCTTACCTGTAAGAGTTATTTATCCTATCTAGAAATGAGGAGAGGAGGTGCAACCTGGCTGATACAGTAGAAGAAATAATGTGAAAAACCTGTGACAGTCTGTCTTAGGTTTTGGGGCTGTTTGTACTTCCAAACAGGATATTTGGCTTTGTTCAGCAGTAATGTAGCTCCAGAAGTTTGATGTTACACAAGTGTTATTTGAGGGTTTTGAGGGTTGGCTGTTTTCCTTATTTTTAAAGTGTGACTAAACCTGCATCCACAGTGGTCATTATTTGGGGGTACTTCTCATCTTCCCTTCGTATTCAGGTGGGTTGCTGGCAGTTTTCCATATGTAGGGAATGTGTTACTGGCTCTCCAGAGAGCTAAAAATGAACTTTCCAAGATTTTTTTCCTGCAGCAGTTATTTGTGCAATCTGTCAGAAAGTTTCGTGCTATAACCTTCAGTTGGTTAAATCTGTTGATGTAGAGTTAAAAAATAATGGTGATATGAAGTCTGCAGCAAATAATCTACATCCGTTACAGATTCAAAGGGGGCCCTGAGTTATCCAAGGGCAAGGTGCTGTTGTTCTGCAGGTTGTTTTAATTTATTTTAAGTAATTAGTATGCAGTGTTTCATTTTTTTAATCTAACCTTGAAGCATTGATATGGCAGTTCACTGGCTCTGTAGCCAGCACGCAGTGCATAGGCAAAACATGAAGGGAAAAAGAGCAGAGCCTGTGCTGTTAGAATGACAAAGACTGTTATTCAAGTGAACAAAGAATAGGACTTTGTGTGCTGCAGAAACAGTTGGGGTGTTTTGCCTTTTGCCACTGTGTTATTAAAATGGAGGTTGGTAGTGCTGACTGGGGTGGTTCTGTTAACCTGTGCTGGGTGGTGGGTCAGTGTTACACCACAGAGCTGGTTGTGTGTATCAAGGACTAAACAGTTGGCAGGTGGGAGAGGCCTATTGTAGCCACAGACTGACTTGTATGCCTTGGTATTGATGTTGTCTGTCATGGGCTAAAGTGAATGTTTGCTCTCTTTCAGGTTCCAGTAGTTTCTGTAGGTGGTCGTGGAACTTGGAGTTCTAACTCTTTCTTGTGCTTTTATCTTTGCTTAAATCCTTTAAGTAGTTAATGTGTCAGTGCTCCTCCTTTTAAAAATGCTTAGTGTGAATAATAAGCCTTGTTGTTGCTGTGTGGTTCCTGTATCTCTACATATAGATTTAAGTTTGGAGGAAGGTTATGAGGAAGCGTGTGGTAATGCCTTAGATAGCAAATTATGATTTAGACTTGCTTAAACAGCAGCTTATTACCCTCTTGGTACAAAGGACAAAGACCCAGTGTGCATAGGCAAGTATTGAACTTTTAGATTAATTGTTTAGAAGGCTATAGTCTGTCCCTGCTCAGGTGACAGCCTGGTCTCTGTACTCCCTTTAATGCCTTCTGAATGATGCCCACTGTCAACACACTGTAGCTCAAATTCATAGTTTGAGTATGTGGGTAAAGATTAATCCACCCAGAAATTGGGAGAGTTAGGAAGGTGGCTGGAAGACACTCAATGAACTCTTACAGGTGAACAGCCCAAATGTGTATAGCAAGATTACACTTTGTCTGGCTCTCTATATTGTCACATCGAAACAAAACCAAAACAAGCCTGGCAATAAACCCCCTTTTTGCCTCTGTTGCATTGCCCTTAATGTTGCGTGTGTGGGCAAATACAAAGATTATCTAAAGATTGAGTAATGAGTGTCCTCTTTTTCTACAGTAATGTATGTACCTTCCTAGCCTGGGTTCCCATCTCACTCTGACTGTTAGATATGACAATAAAGTGTTGGCTTCAGTCCTGGTGAGGAAATGGTCTCTTGTTTGATGAGAACACCCAGGTCTGCAAATCCACCCTCGCACTTGGTTCTGGGATCTGAGCTGATGGCAGGGGTTTGGTGGAGGACCTTCAACTCTGGAATTTGCTCTCTGGTACTGCCAGCCTGCTGGTTTAGTTAAAATGCCTATGTTTTTCAGACTTTACTCAGAAGCAGTTAAATTTTTGGAATTGCAGTGGTTTTATCTCTTCAATTACTTTATCAAGTGATACACACAAATGGTGTAAACTGTATGTTGATATAGTAACATAAATCTTAAACTGTGCTTTAAAAGATACCACGTGGCAGTAAACACTTGGCTTATCATTGGACACATGGTGGAAAAGGATATCTTCATCTTTTGTCACTTTAATTTTCTGTTGTTAGTTTCTTCTCTGAATAAAAGAGATTTGAACATTCTGTGATTCTTACTCTGAAGCTTCTGTTACTGTATTTTATGTGATGTTTGGTTTTCTTCTGTACAGTTGAAATGTGTATGTTGACAGTAAGATTTTAAACTTGCTGTGTGAAGTTTAGCTGTGAATTCTTGATGTACTTCTCATTCAAAATCCATCCTTGTTCTGATTGAAACTGCTGTTAAAGAGCTCAACTATCAGGCAAGTTGTATTCTAAAAGATATTCTCCCAAGCCCCTTGGAAACTTGAATTAAAACTTGAAGCTTTCAACAGAGTCTGTGTTTGAAAACTCCTGAAAGTGCAGCTCCTTTTACTTTTTTCTGTTTCAATTTCTGATGTGCGGTTTCTCTTTCTGAAGATTCCGTAAAATGAACAAACGTCTGGTTCCCAGAAGACCCCTGAGTGCCTCCCTGGGCCAGCTGAACGAGGTGGGCCTGCCTTCAGGAGCTATCCTCTCAGAGGAGGGGGGAGTGGACTTGCCCAATAGGAAAACCTCTGCCCTGCCAAATGGAATTGTGTCAACAGGCAGCACGGTGACACAGCTCATCTCTCGAGGGACTGACTCGGGTTATGAAACCGCTCTGAAGCCCGGGAAGATGGACCATCTGAGTAGCAGTGCCCCTGGATCCCCTCCTGACTTGTACGGGTCTTCCTACCTCTTGTTCCAAATGTTGTGTGTACCTGTGGAGTAGAAACTAAGGAAACCCATTCTCTAGAAAATAAGTGAAATCAGGGTTGTGGTTGTTTTTGTGGTTTGGGTTTTGTTGTTGTTTTGGGGTTTTTTTTTTAGTGATTAAAGAGTAGAGTAGAAAACTATAGCTAAAATTTTAAACTTTAAACTGTTTACTTACACTTTAATTGGAGAAGGTGATATAAGCCTTCAGAAGGTGGGGTGTAGATGAAGAACAGTGTGTGAGAATGCAGTGTGCTGTACTAGGCCTTAATAAACAGAGCCATCTTTCTGCTTTTCAGGCTGGAATCTGTCCCCAAGAGCTCTATTTCTGCCTTACCAGTGAACCCTCATCCTGTGCCCTCCCGGGCCCCAGCAGATCTGCCCTCAGTGTCTGTCACCAAGCAGTTGCAGATGGTACCACGAGGGTCTCAGTTGTACAATGCTCAACAAGCAGATATGTTTTACCAAGACCCTAGAGGAGCTGCCCCACCATTTGAGCCAGCGCCCTACCAACAAGGTAAGGTTGGCACCAAGCTCTTTCATCGTCATGCTGATTTTAATCTTTCTTCCCACTCTGTTTTTTAAGCTCTTAAATTGAAGTTTTCTTGCCTATGACACGAAGTAAAGACACTAATGTGGTGATGGCATCATAAAAGGGAAATTGGCAGGATTTTATGTCTTGACTGAGGACTTCAACGCAAATTAAAACAGATACTTGTATCCATTCAGCGTAGCAAATCCTTCTGTATTCAGTTCTTCCCAACTGGGCTAGATCAAGGATCCAGTATGGTAAACCTTAATTCAGTCTGAATCAGGGAAAATGGAAATAAAGTGCATGTGATGGGTAGAGACAAATGAAATTAGAGAAGGGTCTTCACAAAAAAGAAAGCAGATTAAAAAAGGAACTAAGAGGAAAAACTCCTAAGTATAAAGAGACCAAGTGGAGAAAGGTAATATTGAGGGGGATTAAAAATAAAAGATATGGCTATATATAAAGACAGGGAATGATTCTTGGGCAGTGTAAGAACGCAGAGAGAAATGAGCTAAAGTGAAGTTAATACGAAAGGAAAGTAAGGAATGGAAGACCAAAAAAAATTGGAAGAAGAAAGGAAAGGGGAGAGCGAACCCATTTTTGAGAAAGTTGCAGAGCATTCTGAAGAAAAACAAACAGCGCTTCATCATTATGTGCCACTGAACATCTGAGTTGTCTACAAAATTTAATGTTATGCACATATTTATGCTTATTTTTAAATTATCCAGAGATCCCAGATAGAATATTAAAATGTTCAGGTAACCAGGAGGTGTGATCTTAGAAGTCTTTGGTTATTCACAATTCCGAAATTTTTTCTACTGTTCAAGAGGTAGACGAAATCTTTAGATAACTTTAAATTCTAATAATCTGAGTTCCTTTACACAAGTAGTGGCTCTGATATATTGGGACAAATTGAATTTTAGTTGCATGAATGAAGATGTACAGACTAATCTTCAGTTTACTTTTTAGGTTTTGTTTAGCTGAAAGCATTCACAGCAGTCTGGTGAATTATTTCTATGTGGTGTGCTGGCAGGACCACTGGCACCTGTGGTGGGCTCAGTCTCACCACCCCTTCTCCAGCTACTGTAACATTGATGCCTTTCTGGTATCTTATTTAGATAATTGAACTTTAAATAATTGGATTGACTTCTGCTGCTTCAGGGTTTCTGTGGTTAATTCTTGAATAGAAATACCAGTTAGACCATTTTTTTTTTTGACCATTTTTTACCATTCTCTTCATGATTCTTGCAGACCGGAGTACTTGGGGCGATTTGTGGCCAACGGTGCTAATGCCTTTCTCCTGTTTGTCCCGTTTGTCTCCTCCCCTCAGGAGTGTACTACCCCACGCAGTCCATGTCCCGCTTTGTCCGGCCGCCTCCCTCGGCCGCCGAGGCGGGCACCCCATACCTGGAGCCGTACGCGCCGTACCTGCCGGAGCGCGTGGTGAGCCCACAGTACCCGCAGCCGCAGCAGTACCCGCCACTGGCACAGCCCCTGTACCCCCCGCACTATGACAGCCGCCGTGTGTACCCCCCGGTGCCACCCTACCAGCGCGAGGACGTGGTGCGGGGCAGCCCCGTGCCCATCGACATCCCACCTGCCGCCGTCACCCCCTACGTGCCCGAGGCCAGAGACAGATACCAGCAAGCAGAGGCATATTGCCCGGTGGCTCCGCACCTCGGCCAGATCAGGCCTTCGTGCCATAGGGTTTGTGCTGCCATTTTGTACTTGTTCGTCCTTTCTCTCCTGCTGCTCCAAGTTAAATGTTATTGCGGTGAGGGCTTTGTGAGGAAATAGAGGTTTCCACTTGAAACCTGGAAGGCAATTTAGTTACTGGTCAACTCTGCAGTTGTAATGATGTTAATATGTAGAAGAGCAGCAGGTTGCTATTTAGTGCTAAGAGTAGAAAAGCATTGGTAAAAAGCATTGTAATTGTCTCATACAGCCCTGGTTTCTCCAGCAAAGATTTGGCTGGAGTTTAATCTGCACTCCTCTGCAGATTAAATGCAGTTTGTGGAAATGGTCATTTCTGCATTCTTGTACTACCCAGCTCTGTGCTTAAATAAGAAATATTAAACATACATTTCATGATAAAGGAATTGAAAATTCCACTCTGCCAGATTTTCTCTAAGATTGCACAGTTCTCCGAAGAAGACCCTTCAGTTAGCAAACATGTTCTGGGAAGGCAGCAGCTGGAGTCAAGTCCTGCAGAATTAGTTGGATTTACATCATCTGTAATTCAGATTAAAGGCCCTGAATCCTGTTGCTGAGTCCAGGAAGCATTTTTAACATAGCTTATAGACTTACCAGTTTTGAGTTTGACATGTTTGTGGGATGTTTAATGCAAAATGAATAACTAATGACGAGGTTATGATCTGTAGAGTTCTCCCCCTTTCCCCCACATGACTGAAATGGGGACTTGACATGCTGGAACATGTTCCAGTGGAAACTTTGCCAGGATGGGATGCATTCCTTGTCTTTGAGGCGTCTTGAACTAACACTGACCAGTGTAGGAACATTTATGTCCTCTATCAAACATGACAGGTAGCAGGAAGACTTTAACAAAGTGATCATTATTTGTTATTTTAATGATTCTGTCTGTCCTCTATATTTCCCTTTCTTGTAGGATAAGGCTGCCTTGTTTTGTTTGGATAAACAACACTTAGGAAATTACTAGTTTTGTGCAGTAATGCTTCAGGAGCTCCATAACATATTTCTGTCTTCATTTCAGCCTCATCCCAGCCTGGATGAACTTCACCGACGAAGGAAAGAGATCATGGCCCAGCTGGAGGAGAGGAAGGTGATTTCTCCACCTCCTTTTGCACCGTCGCCAACCTTGCCTCATCCTTTTCACTCAGAGGAGGTAAGCATATTTTGACAAAAACGTAATGTGCTGGCATGTTTAGAAAACACTTTGGAGTTTTTGTGTGCTGACAGGTGAAGGTAACAAGAAAATCAAAACAGTACATCACAAGTGTGTGAGTGGATTGTGGATTTTGTGCTCCAGGTGGGAAGCCCTTGCAGTGCAGTCTCCAGTATCTCAACTGGCTGTCGATTCTCTGATCTACCACTGATTCTAAGCTATCTGCTCTTGGTGCAACCAAGAAAATAAGTTTTGAGCTATTATTAATTGAAGTAGTCTTCACAGTTACAGGACTTTACTTCATTTGCTCCTGACATTCTTAGAATTAAGTAACAGTTTGATAGAGACTTATGTTTTTTAACCAAGGTCAAAATACCACTTTCATACTGGCCAAGTGAACAGTCACCACCGGGAGCGTGGCCAGGTGATCAGAATTTCATGCACTTCATGCCTGCCATGGCCCAATTCCAAATGGTGATGTATCTGATAAAAAAATAATCCTGGTGGTGTTTCTCAAGTTTACTGCTGTTGAAGTAAGGGGGGGGTGGCTGTGAAGCTGCTTCTTCCCTTCACTTACAGAACCAGGTTTTTGTTTTTGTACAGTACTTGGATGAAGACCTGAAGGTAGCTGGGAAATACAAAGGAAATGACTACAGCCAATACTCCCCCTGGTCCTGTGACACCATCGGCTCCTACATTGGAACCAAAGATGCAAAACCCAAAGATGTCGTGGCAGCGAGGAGTGTGGACATGGCGGTACATGGGGATTAGGGGAAAACAGAAGAAAAGTGGATACTTCTGTGGGTTGGGAAGGACTTTCATTTGCTTTTCTAGGGCTTGTATTAGAGCTCAAAAGTGCATTGCAGTCACAGAAAGCATTTGCAGGTGTGCAGAGTCCTTTGTTTTCAAAGTTATCAGCAGTCCTACCCTGGTGTGGCTGTTACCAAATTCTGCATCTAGATGCAGGATAACCACTCTGCTCTGAAGGCATGAATAACAAGGATATTTTGCCATGATTCTTTACACTTAACTGAAATCCCAAAATTACTCTGTCCTAGCAGCTTGTTAATTAAGCATGGCCATCTGTAGCTTCTTGTACTTCTTTCTGTCAGAGGGAGATGCTGGAATTTAACTTTGTTCTGTTAGTTACTGGTAAGATGTTTTTAGTTTTTACTTGCGGGACTCTCTGATTGATGGCCATGAGAGTACCCAAAACTTTCATGAAGCTGTTGAGAGAAGCACAATTATAACATAGTACTAGGCTGTTTTTTCTTGAGGGCAGTTTCTAGCTCTGTGTTGTGCTTATTCAGCCCTTCACTGAACCGTGGGTGTCAGGCTGTGATCTTGTTTTGTGATGCTCTATTTTTGCTGGGTCAGTGATGCAAAAGAAAGGGGCTGCTAGGGTGTCATTGTTGCGAGTCATGAATGGAGAAGAAAAGAAATAGGAGTGTGAAATACCACCACTATTTGGTTCATTCCTAACATTCAAGCAGCACTCAACACAAGAAATAGGCTTGGAAGCCCATGCAACTATGAAGACATTCAAGTCTTCCAGAGAAAGAACCATTTAGCCTGAGGGACTGTTTTACAGAGGTGCATCTGTTCTCCATCACCTCTCATCTGCAAAAGTGATTTATCATCATTTATATATTGTCACTGTCACAGTGACTTTTCTTTGGCTGATAAGGGAGGGGGGAAAGATTTCTATCCAGAATTTATTCTGTGGACAGGTGCTCACCTGTTGCAAACTCTTAACCAAATAATAGGATTTTTTGGCCCAGCTTCTCAAATAAGCTCCCCTTTTCCCCTCTGCCCTGTTGGAATTAATGTATCTGATTTCTGTCCAGTGAATTGCTTTCCTGTAAAATCTCGACGATGCTGTGTGAAATGGGAGCAAAAAGGAGGCTTTTTCACAGAAAAAGGCATTTCGTCTGCAGCTTTGGCCTTTTTACCTGTACTCTTGCTCCCAGTCCTGCACAGAGTGGTTGCCTGGAGTTACAACACTGTCACATTTGACCTGGGGAAGGACTGAGATTACTTGGAATCGGATTATTGCGTCCAAGTGGCACTATTCAGGAATCAACAAACAGCTCTTGGCTTTCATCCCTGCTGCTAGACAACTGTGCAAACAAACTGTAGCTCAATTAAGAAAAGTAGTAGGGTTCTGAAGAAGCAGCCTCCTTTTTCACGTCTAAACAAAGCCTTCTGCCCCAGAGCTAATTTTCAAATAGGCAAATAGGATCTCCACTGCTCTTCAGTTTTTGTCTCCTCACAGGAAAAAATGCTCAGGAAACCTTTACTGAATTAATTCTTCAGTGAATTAATTCTGCCTTTTTTATTGTTCACAAGAGATTGCTTTTTTCATGGATGGGAATAGCCTCATCTGAGAGTGCATAATGATGAATATTATGCCGATGGCATTGCAACTTTACTCAGTAAATAGAAATAAATTAAAATTGGTGCTAGCATCCTATAGCATCAAGATTGGAATTCTGGGGAAAAAAATACATTGTAAAGTACTGCTGCCTCATGCCTCTTCTAGTTTCCAGGTGTTACATTTCTTGACTCTCTTAACTTCCAACTGAGTTTTTACTGCTGTTTTCACCTGCCTCAGGAGAGAGAGAGAGAGAGAGAGCGAGCATTTTATCTCTTCATATGCTGACCCCTTATGGTGTTTAAACATGAAGCTTAGTTAGAAACCTACCACCTAAGGAGTCTTTCTGCTGTGCCTTTTGCAACCAGACTTGTCTCTCTCGCATTGGCCTTTTTAGCCACCAGTGCGCTTGTAGCAAATGTGGGTAGAGCCCTTCCCAAATCTTCGTTTGCAAAGCCCAGCCATGATGAGTTAGAAACCAGGATGTTCCAAGCAGTATTGGTCCTTAATGAAAAATGTGCCTGAAAAGATGTATTAGACACGTCCAAGTAAGTGCTGTACTGAAAAATTCCCATTTTGAGTCATTTGCAGGCTGTTAGTGATACAGTTCTTAACAGTGGGCTTCAGAGAAATTTCTTTTGAACTCTAGAAGGAACATATATTCCTCAGAGAGGCCCACTGATGTCATCTTTGACTTTATTTAAGGAGGAGGTCTTTTCCCCCCATCTGTTCCCATTAAACTTTCTCTATCTTCGTTTTCATTTGCTGCTGCTCTCTGCTGCTGGATTTATTCACAATTCATTATGCAACCACTTCCCAGGGGTGTAGTAAATGGTCATGTTAAGTCAGACCCTTAAAAAGACATCCCTCTAACAGCGGAGTTAGAAACTAAAGGGCAGGAAGACTGGCTGAAAGCTCAAGTGACTAGAGAATACAAGAGTTACTTTCCTGCTGCCAGCATGTGGTTCTGTTAATCCCCGAATGGGTCCTGGAGTGCCTTTTCCATGTCTCGTGCAGAACGTGGACAGCAAAGCCATGCGTGAGCAGCGGCTGGACCTGCAGCGCCGGGCGGCCGAGGCTGGTGACGACGATCTCATTCCCTTTGGAGACCGACCGACTGTGTCGCGCTTTGGGGCCATCTCCCGCACTTCCAAAGCCATGTACCAGAACTCCGGGCCCATGCAGGCCATGGCGGTTCAGGGAGCTGCCACCAAGTCCATCATTTCAGGTACGGCCTGTGCTCTTGCATTTTGCTGGCTGTTGCTGTTTTCCGTAGTGCAACAGTTGAAGGCAAGCCCTCTAAACTTGTCTCTTGCCTTAGAAGTATAGCTGAGGTGTGTGTCATGCCACTAAAAATAACTCCAGGGAGGGTTACACTGAGAAGCCTGAAGAAAAAGGCTACCACTGCTTTCTGAGGTCACTTGGTCCGTTCAGCCTGGAGAAGAAAAGGCTGACGGAGACCTCATTGCAGTCAACAGGTTAATCACAGGGGGAAGCCAAAGGGCAGGCACTGATTCTTCTCTGTGGTGACCAGTGACAGGAAAGGCTGGAGCTGTGTCAGGAGGGGGCTCAGGTTGGGTTTGAGGAAGAGGTTCTTCCCCTAGAGGGTGGTCAGGTACTGACCAGCCTCCCCAGGGCAGTGGGCACAGCACCAAGGCTGCCAGAGCTCCAGGAGCATTTGGACAATGCTCTCAGGGATGGAGGGGATTGTTGGAGTGTCTGTGCAGGGCCAGGAGTTGGATCCTTGGGGGTATCCCTTCCAACTAAGGTTATTCAGTGATTCTGTGACAGGTTTGTGCACATGCAGTGTATGTCTTAGTGATTTGTTGTTGCTGTTTGGACAAAGTTACTTTGTTCTGCTGGTCCATCTGAGGTGAGGCTTATTTTAAATCTGTTGCGGTAGAATCCAGAAGCTTAGGGCTTTCCTAAATACATGATGGAAAACCATCATGATGAAGTACTGTACTGCTGCTCTCCTGCTTTATGAGTAGCAGCTCCTGGAAGCTTAATGCAGCCATTGCCTTGTGTACTGTTAGGCAAAGAAAAAAAGTAAGAATAGTTCATTTTTAACACACCTATTTTCTAATAGTATGTATAGTGTTGCTGTCTGTCAGACTCTCAAAGATGGTCTCTTTCTTGAGGTGCACTAAATAACCTTAAGAAATATTCTCTCAAACTTCCTTCTAGATTTTTCAGGTAGTAACTTTCTAGACTTTATTACAGGTAGAACTCTGACTTCCCTGAAAACTTAATCTTCAAACTGTATTTCAGTAGGTACGTCAGAATTATCAGTCAACTCTTGAGTCTTTTAGGAACTGAAATAGTAAAAATAACTGCTCTCATAGTGGCTGTAAGTTTGGTTTTGTGTCCCCACCTCCCTGAAGTCCTTCAGTTTCATACTCTGGAGGGCTGTCACAGTGTTTTGGGCGCATGAGACCAGTCCCGTGGAGTATTTCTGTGTTCATTTAATCAGAAGAAATGTTAGACTTCTCACTCTTAGAGGATTGGCCTTTCTTGTTGTTCTGTCTGTCCACTTCTATGTTGGCTGAACTACTGGAAGGATAGTTTTGCAGTAATGCAACCTGGTTTTCTTTCTGTTCACTGGCAGACTACAGTCCTTATGGAACTCACGGTGGCTGGGGAGGCTCTCCATATTCTCCTCATCAAAATATACCTTCTCAGGGACGTTTCAATGACAGGTAGGATCGCTCTACTTTTTTCTTTACCTTTTTCTAAATTTTCTTTATTTTTTTCTGCACCAGCTGAGTAAAGCTTTTTTTTTTCTTTTTTTAGAAATCTCCTCCTTTTTTTTCTTTTCTAGAAATTTCCTTATTTTTTTCTTTTCTGATCCCAAAGGGAGAGGCTGTCCATGTCGGATGTGGCTGGTCACGGGAAGCAGTTGCCCTCAGCTGAGCGAGAGCAGCAGCTGCGCATGGAGCTGCAGCAGGTGGACCATCAGATCAGCCAGCAGACGCAACTGCGGGGACTGGAGGTTGGTACCAGCCCTTGAACAACGGTGAGGGGTGCTGTGGAGAGAGATGAAGCTGGTAAAGCTGCTTTTCACAGGCTGATCTTTCTCTGACTGTCACGATACTCAGTAAAAACACTTAATTCCGTGATGCCAGGCATCAGGACTATGGTACAGGTGTCAGCCTCTGCTTGGCAGCAGAACCTTCATGTCCAAATCAACACCATGCTTGACTGTGCACTCTGCTCAGTCGTGTTTACTGTCATTCTCTCACTCCCTCTCTGTTCATCTCTCTACTCTGAAGCAAAGTCATGGTGTAGATGCCTATTCCTCCTGGCTTTACTGCCATGGGAAATGTCTGATTTTTTTGTACAGAAGGCCATGACCTTCCTCTGTTTCATGTTTGGCTTTGTGTTTGTACCTGTTTCTTCCTAAATAGCACAAGCCACAAGAGTCAAGAAAGTAAATATGAAATACATTTAGTTGAAAAATTAAAGCTTAAAAGTCTATGTCTCCTCACTTTCATTTTTAAAAGAATTAATGAGCTGAAGTCTTTCTGTTTTGTGAGACACAGAAGGAGAAGTGTCAGGGCATAATGAAAGAATTGTTTTAGCAAAGTTTAAGTTACTGTTTTCCTCCTAGGAAAAATCAGTAAATATTTATCAGAAAACTGTTCTAGGTACTTCAGCAACTATTCATGTTAATGTTTTCACTGAAGGAATTGCTGTAAGTAGTGGATAGCAGCTTCTACTGAAGCAATGGTTACCTAAGGACACGTGTTAGAGAAGGGTTACTGCAGATTAGGTGTCAGAGCTCACAATTAAATCACAGGAGCAGTTGCAGTAATATGCAGTACTTAGTTACTGGAAACATAACTTGTGTTCTTGTGCTCTTGTTTGGAAACGAGAGAAGAAAATATTTTAAATCTTCCATGTTTGCCTTTGCCATAATAGAAGAGTATTGGAAAGTTGCAAAACCCATGAGTGGCCTTCCTCTCCTGCTCATCATTGTTGGGATTGTCTCAGTGTTAAATCCTACAGAGTTGAGTGTTGAGCCTTGATTTTACTATTAATTTGAAGTTGGCAGAACTACTCAGTTATTTTGAGTAACAACAGCTCTCAGTTTATCTCTTGCGTTCAAAGCTACAAGTAGGTATTAGAAATCCAGGAGGCTTCATTGATTTACCTCTACAAGGTTGCAACAATCACTTAATTCACTCAGAGCACGAAGAACTAGATCATTCTGCTTTCTTCCCAAATGAATGAGCATTTCTACTTGAAGACCAGCCACACGTTGGGTTGTGTGCACTACTAGATGTTGTGTTTAAATGCAGAGCACACAATTGCAGAACTGGTTCCCAAGTTATTAGCAGATTTTTGGAGTGGCTGACATGGCTACTGCTTTGAGTAACTTGCGATCTGTGAATGGCTGCAGCCACTTGCTTCTCTCTGTTCCTCTGTCTGCTAATATGGGACAGTAGAGAGCTGCATATGGACATCTACATGTCTCAGGATGTTTTATATGATGTGGTCATAATTCTGGCTCTCCTATAGAACTTGATAAATTCTGCTGTAAAATAAAGCACTAGATTGGCTTACCTGCTGTTACATGTTGTCCAGCAATAGCTCACAAAAGAGTAGTGGTTTTGTTCAGGGTCTTAATCTTAGTTTTGAGAAGGGAGTGGTATGTGAGGAAAGCACATGCAAATTTATGGCAGTAAAAGGTATTTAACCCTGCTTGTTTAAAGGTCTTTGTGAATAGACCTGTTGAAACTTGCCTTGGAAGTGGTTTCAGCTGGGACATTGTGAGGTGTGGAGAGAGAAGTTGGTTTTGCAAATGAGCAATACTGTGGCGTTATGGCCTTAGAGCTCCCCCATGCCCGGTGTCTGTGCTCAGTTGTGTGTGTGCTTGGCTTTATGCATTTAGGCTGTTAGTAACAGGCTGCTGTTGCAGAGGGAGGCGACTACCCTGGCAGGCCAACCACAGCCCCCACCCCCGCCTCCCAAGTGGCCTGGGATGATCTCAAGTGAACAGCTGAGCTTGGAGCTACACCAGGTGGAAAGGGAAATTGGGAAGAGAACCCGTGAGCTGAGCATGGTGAGTGCTGGGGGGGTGGGAGTCAGAGAGGTGAAGAGCCCTGTAACCCTGGCAGAAAGGCTGGATGCCCACAGCTGGAGTCATCCATCTCCCTCTTCACCTCTTTATTCTTCAAAACCTCCTCAGAAGTTTCTCCAGTCTTCTTCATGAAGAATTTTAATTCTAGCCACTTGAAAATGCTGTTATTTTGTTGCCATTTGAAATAAGTGTGGCGCTGAAATTTGTTGGAAACTAAACAGTCTCCAAGGTCAGTGTGCCATGAGTCCCATAATCTACCTTAACATAGGAAACATCATCTGCAAGTACAGGCTAGTGTTCAGAAGTCTGTGTGCTGTTACAGTCTGTGGCCTTCGCTTGTTGTTACAAGGATCATCCCTTCCTTTTGGGAAATACTGTGTCCCGAGAGGATGAGCAAATCTTAGTCTGTTTTTGTCTCATGGCTTTTGTGGGTTACACTGCGTGACTCCAACTGACAGGCCTTCATCATCAGCCCTAAGGGATGAAGTCTCCAATTCTTCTAACGCACCGTTAAAGAATTTTTCATCTGTCTTTTCTTTAAAGGAGAGCCAGTCTTCACTGGATATGAAAAACAAACTGGGCACCGCTAAACAGACAGAAAATGGACAATTAGAGCCACAAAGCAAGGTTCCAGCTGAGGACCTCGCACTGACATTCAGGTAATATGGGCCTTCAACCTGTCTTTGTAACAGGAGAATAATTTCATCCAGGGTCACTCTCCTGTGTGAATAATTCCCCCTGCCTCACATCAGCTCTGATGGGGAAGCATCTACTAGGAAAAGAGGATACAAATCAAGTTTTTATAGTGCAAGCATGAATTAAGGACTGCTTTAGTTGATGAGTAGGTGAGTGGAATGAGACTTAGGTAAATTAATATAACAGAAGACTTGCAAAGTCTGTCAGACCAGGAGTCCATCTCGACAGTATTGGATGATTAATAGGGAGGAGCAGGAGATAAACAACAACCATAAAAGAAATCTCTACCTGCTATATTAGTTTCAAAGAAAATAGCTGTCCCAAATGTGAAAGGAAAGTTATTCCACCCTGCTAAGGTTTGTCATGTGGATTTGTCCAGGAAGGTACGTGACTTTGAAACTAAGTTCTGTTTAATTTGTAGGCAGTTATCTTTTTGTGTGGAGATGCTGGGATTGATTTCAGTTCACATTTAATAGACAGTTGGAATAAGATGTTGGCTCGGAATGCTGGAAATGTCCACAGCAAGTATTTTGAGATGGCCACAAGCATCTGTGTATATTCAAACTAATATTGAACAGAGAAGCTCAGATGTCATTACGTTTACATAACTTGATGTGAGCAGTTTGGAATCTGGATATTTATTCAGAAAATGTGTCCCTCAGTTGCTGATGAAGTTTGCACTTTCTTCTTATAACCCATTCTTGAGTTCTGCACTGCACCATTAGATTGAAGCCTCCAGAGCAGGAACTAGTTTTTTCATATGGAACTCTGAAAGTAATGAAATCAGAACAACCACTTATGGTTTTTACATTTAAAAAAACCCCAAACATAAGATAAACTATCCAGGTGAGTTAAATATTCTGGAATATGTTCATTGAAGTAATTTTACTTGAAATAAATGAAAAATCTCAGTAATTACTTCTTTTCACCCACTTCCCCTTTCTGCTCAACCTTCCCCCAGCAGTGATGTTCCAAATGGATCGGCTTTGACACAAGAGAACATTGGCCTCCTGTCAAACAAGGCAGCGTCTCTGAGCTTGTCAGAGGAGCCTGAGGGAGGAGGGGACAGCCACGACTCCCAGCGAGCCGGAGTCACACCCACATCTGCTCCATGAAGCCAGGCCAGCACACCCCGAGCTCCTCCTGCCAGGGTGGCAGCACCTTCCATCACGTTTTTTTTCCAGGGGTAATTGGAGAAAGCCAGGAGCAGCAGCAGTAGCAGAGCAGCAGGTCCAGAGGCAATGTGCACAAACACAACTACTAGAAACAAATCCTGCACATAGTTCACATTAACGCATTTTTTAATTAAAAAAATGAAAATTAGCAGTATCTGCAAGCAATTCAAATTAAATTTGTTTTTGTTCTGTGAATGAACTTTATTTTAATAACTTTGGACGCCTTGAATCCCAGGGCTTAAAAAAAAAGATATTATATATATACTCTGTTTGATTAATTGTATGATCTTAATGAAGTAGATTTTTTCTTTTATTTTGGTATTATTACATACCCAGTGCATAATTCCTTATCACCTTAATTTCTCAATGACTAAAACAATCTGGCCGCTTCCTTGTGTGGTTTAAGAGTAAACAAGGAATGAGGGTTGGAGAGTAGCTGTGAAATTGCAGTGTCAAAAGATGTGCAGCAAACTTCATTCTTCCCATTGTGGCCAGGAGCTGAACCCCAGCTTCTTACTTAAATTGTTGAATTTAAACTACAAGTGACAGAATCCTTGCAATTCAGCAGGTGTTGTGGTTTGGTTTTTTAAAGGTGGCATTGTTTAAGGTCTGTATGTTAGAAATTGGCACCTGAGAGTCAGCCTGCAGCTTGTCTGTCAGTGCTGCAGTGAATCCTTCCTGGATTCTCCTTTCCTAAGGAAAATATTGCATCAAAATGGCCGCTGGAGGTGCAGCACAAATCCTGCCAGAAGTACTGGGAAGCAAATTTGCTTGATAGATCCAATGCTTCTCCAAGTAGATGCTTTGTAAGTATAAGTTGGAGAAGCCATCAATCTTTTTTAAAAAGTAAAGAAATGAAAGATTTTATTCTTGCTGCACGTTTTTTGACTCCTTTGACATACACTAGGGTGAGACCCTGGATACAAAGAACCCTGGAGAACGATTTTAAAGTGCTGCTCCCTCTGCACCTTCTTGGCCTGTGTTCTCTTTTTTTTTTTCTGGGTTAGACTACTAAATGGGAAAGCACTGGTTATGTAATAAATTACTGCATTGCTTTGGTTGGGTAAAGCAAGAGTTATTGAATTTTCTTGGGTTTTAGTTGTTTTTCCTTAACCTTAACTCCTGCTGAGGTCGTAGCAACCTTGGGCTAAGCTTTGCATTCATCATACTGTTAAATAAAACAAAAGGGGGGGTGGGAGGGGATACAGTCCCACTATTGCCTACCAGTAGGAGAGTCCAAACAGAAGACTCTTTTGAGTAGCAATTATTTAATTTGCCCAGTTAAGGCACCGCGTTTATATACTATTTCACATTGAATTTGATTATGCCCTACAGACCTGGCTGGTCAAGGATTTGATACACATATTGGCTTGGGATTCGAGCTTTCTTTTTTATTTAAATAAAAATTTATATATAAATATATATATATACATATATACATAGTTATATCTGTATATATATTGGGTATGTTTTAAGAATTTTTTCGCATGAGCGCAGCTGTTGTGATCAAATGTCTGGGAGGTAGAAGCACTGAATGAAAATAAAGGCATTTTTCAGCTCACACCCCCCCCACTCTCCATATGTCTTCACATGGGTTTATTTCACTCTTAGTTGAACTTTGGCCTCTTCATTGCCAAGAGTAGTTTGAGGCTTGCTTTGTTTTCTACCCCCTCCTAACTTTGGGCAAAGAACCATCTTTGCACTAGAGCAGCTTCACCTCCAGCTTGTCCCCACCCATCCGTACCTGCTGCTTGAGGCCAAGCATTCCAGCCGCTCCCCTGGAGCCCAGCAGGGCTGGGGGGATGCAGTTATGAGTCTGTTCCTCCCTTCTCTGCTCTGGCCAGGAGGATGATGAAGGTGTTTCCCTGGCTGCCTGCTCCCAAGTCACCTGGCACAGGCCGCCTGCCCTCTCCTCCCATCATTTAGTGCAGAGCACCACCCTCAAGTCAGCCTTCTCCTTGGTTTTAATTAGTTTATACCGTCCTGCTGTGTCTTTATTAACACAGGAAGCTCACCTTAGTCGAGATAATTAGTGCAATATTCTAAACTAGGAGGACAAGCCCAGAATGTTCTTTTTTTTGACTGCAGTAATTGTGGATGTAAAATTAATTTTCAAAGATGGTTACAATAGGTTTGACTCCAACAGATTCATTTGCAACACTAGGAAGAAAATCTGGAGGGCAAAAACCTTTTTACCTTTTATTTAACTAGTTCCCTTGCCAGATTAGGGATTTTTCCTTTCTCCACTTTTTCTACTGGGAGGAATTCTGCAGTTAGAGCTACTCAGATTGCTGGCCTGCATATGGTGAATGCTTCCAAAACTTGGGGATTAGAAAAGAGACCTTACTGGTTTTTTGGATTTTTTTTTCTCCTTCATCCAACTGTCCGTGCTGTACTTTGTGTGTAGTGTCCTTGTTGTGATCAGTGTGTCCAGGTGAATGCCCTGTTTGCCCAGAATTATAGTTTGGCTTGTTAAATAGTGTGTTTAATATCTACTAACAGTATTGATTTTTAGCTTCGGTTCTTCCCCTCCTCCTCTTCCCCTTTTTCTGCCTTTTTTTTTTCTTTTTGCAGAAGTTCAGTTGATTAAAACAAGTTGAACAGCAAAGTGCAGTGCATGCTTTTAAGTCTTTTTCTGAAAACTGCACATGAAATGTTCCCTTTTTGTGGAAAAACTGGGAGAACTCAGAGAACAGAGAGCTCTCCATGCAGTTGGCAGCATTGATGGTTACAGCAAATAAGCTGAGAGTCAAAATGTCTGGAGCGACTCTCTATCCTGCTACGGTCATTGCTATAGCCCATCACTGTCCCAGTTGTACAGGAGTGCTGCCCACCTCTGTGAGATTGGTCTTGGCTACGGATTGCTTTAGTTCCTTCTACCTGGGCAAGAAGGAGCAGTATTACCATGGTGTTAGGGCACTGCTGCATCCTTTGGTAGGTAGGTGGAATTTCCTACTGCACCAGACAACTCTTAACCCTCACTGATACCTGGGTTCCAGCCCCGGCACGGACAAACCCCCCCCAAATAGAAAGCTTCAAGCGGAAGGTTGAGCTTCAGTGCATCAGTGATACAGTCAGTGTAGAAATGTCTGTTTATTCTGTAGTGTTACTTTCCTTCTCCTGTCAACATCTCTTCTTCCTTTCCTGTGACCTAGTTCTGATTTCTTAATAGGAGAAATTTAACCTGTTTCATGCTGTCCCATTTCAGAGTAGGACTTGTTTTCTCTAGATCAGAGCACTTTTCAAGCTTGCAGCACAGTTATCCCCTTCCTTCTCAAGTTCTTTNGTTTGGAAACGAGAGAAGAAAATATTTTAAATCTTCCATGTTTGCCTTTGCCATAATAGAAGAGTATTGGAAAGTTGCAAAACCCATGAGTGGCCTTCCTCTCCTGCTCATCATTGTTGGGATTGTCTCAGTGTTAAATCCTACAGAGTTGAGTGTTGAGCCTTGATTTTACTATTAATTTGAAGTTGGCAGAACTACTCAGTTATTTTGAGTAACAACAGCTCTCAGTTTATCTCTTGCGTTCAAAGCTACAAGTAGGTATTAGAAATCCAGGAGGCTTCATTGATTTACCTCTACAAGGTTGCAACAATCACTTAATTCACTCAGAGCACGAAGAACTAGATCATTCTGCTTTCTTCCCAAATGAATGAGCATTTCTACTTGAAGACCAGCCACACGTTGGGTTGTGTGCACTACTAGATGTTGTGTTTAAATGCAGAGCACACAATTGCAGAACTGGTTCCCAAGTTATTAGCAGATTTTTGGAGTGGCTGACATGGCTACTGCTTTGAGTAACTTGCGATCTGTGAATGGCTGCAGCCACTTGCTTCTCTCTGTTCCTCTGTCTGCTAATATGGGACAGTAGAGAGCTGCATATGGACATCTACATGTCTCAGGATGTTTTATATGATGTGGTCATAATTCTGGCTCTCCTATAGAACTTGATAAATTCTGCTGTAAAATAAAGCACTAGATTGGCTTACCTGCTGTTACATGTTGTCCAGCAATAGCTCACAAAAGAGTAGTGGTTTTGTTCAGGGTCTTAATCTTAGTTTTGAGAAGGGAGTGGTATGTGAGGAAAGCACATGCAAATTTATGGCAGTAAAAGGTATTTAACCCTGCTTGTTTAAAGGTCTTTGTGAATAGACCTGTTGAAACTTGCCTTGGAAGTGGTTTCAGCTGGGACATTGTGAGGTGTGGAGAGAGAAGTTGGTTTTGCAAATGAGCAATACTGTGGCGTTATGGCCTTAGAGCTCCCCCATGCCCGGTGTCTGTGCTCAGTTGTGTGTGTGCTTGGCTTTATGCATTTAGGCTGTTAGTAACAGGCTGCTGTTGCAGAGGGAGGCGACTACCCTGGCAGGCCAACCACAGCCCCCACCCCCGCCTCCCAAGTGGCCTGGGATGATCTCAAGTGAACAGCTGAGCTTGGAGCTACACCAGGTGGAAAGGGAAATTGGGAAGAGAACCCGTGAGCTGAGCATGGTGAGTGCTGGGGGGGTGGGAGTCAGAGAGGTGAAGAGCCCTGTAACCCTGGCAGAAAGGCTGGATGCCCACAGCTGGAGTCATCCATCTCCCTCTTCACCTCTTTATTCTTCAAAACCTCCTCAGAAGTTTCTCCAGTCTTCTTCATGAAGAATTTTAATTCTAGCCACTTGAAAATGCTGTTATTTTGTTGCCATTTGAAATAAGTGTGGCGCTGAAATTTGTTGGAAACTAAACAGTCTCCAAGGTCAGTGTGCCATGAGTCCCATAATCTACCTTAACATAGGAAACATCATCTGCAAGTACAGGCTAGTGTTCAGAAGTCTGTGTGCTGTTACAGTCTGTGGCCTTCGCTTGTTGTTACAAGGATCATCCCTTCCTTTTGGGAAATACTGTGTCCCGAGAGGATGAGCAAATCTTAGTCTGTTTTTGTCTCATGGCTTTTGTGGGTTACACTGCGTGACTCCAACTGACAGGCCTTCATCATCAGCCCTAAGGGATGAAGTCTCCAATTCTTCTAACGCACCGTTAAAGAATTTTTCATCTGTCTTTTCTTTAAAGGAGAGCCAGTCTTCACTGGATATGAAAAACAAACTGGGCACCGCTAAACAGACAGAAAATGGACAATTAGAGCCACAAAGCAAGGTTCCAGCTGAGGACCTCGCACTGACATTCAGGTAATATGGGCCTTCAACCTGTCTTTGTAACAGGAGAATAATTTCATCCAGGGTCACTCTCCTGTGTGAATAATTCCCCCTGCCTCACATCAGCTCTGATGGGGAAGCATCTACTAGGAAAAGAGGATACAAATCAAGTTTTTATAGTGCAAGCATGAATTAAGGACTGCTTTAGTTGATGAGTAGGTGAGTGGAATGAGACTTAGGTAAATTAATATAACAGAAGACTTGCAAAGTCTGTCAGACCAGGAGTCCATCTCGACAGTATTGGATGATTAATAGGGAGGAGCAGGAGATAAACAACAACCATAAAAGAAATCTCTACCTGCTATATTAGTTTCAAAGAAAATAGCTGTCCCAAATGTGAAAGGAAAGTTATTCCACCCTGCTAAGGTTTGTCATGTGGATTTGTCCAGGAAGGTACGTGACTTTGAAACTAAGTTCTGTTTAATTTGTAGGCAGTTATCTTTTTGTGTGGAGATGCTGGGATTGATTTCAGTTCACATTTAATAGACAGTTGGAATAAGATGTTGGCTCGGAATGCTGGAAATGTCCACAGCAAGTATTTTGAGATGGCCACAAGCATCTGTGTATATTCAAACTAATATTGAACAGAGAAGCTCAGATGTCATTACGTTTACATAACTTGATGTGAGCAGTTTGGAATCTGGATATTTATTCAGAAAATGTGTCCCTCAGTTGCTGATGAAGTTTGCACTTTCTTCTTATAACCCATTCTTGAGTTCTGCACTGCACCATTAGATTGAAGCCTCCAGAGCAGGAACTAGTTTTTTCATATGGAACTCTGAAAGTAATGAAATCAGAACAACCACTTATGGTTTTTACATTTAAAAAAACCCCAAACATAAGATAAACTATCCAGGTGAGTTAAATATTCTGGAATATGTTCATTGAAGTAATTTTACTTGAAATAAATGAAAAATCTCAGTAATTACTTCTTTTCACCCACTTCCCCTTTCTGCTCAACCTTCCCCCAGCAGTGATGTTCCAAATGGATCGGCTTTGACACAAGAGAACATTGGCCTCCTGTCAAACAAGGCAGCGTCTCTGAGCTTGTCAGAGGAGCCTGAGGGAGGAGGGGACAGCCACGACTCCCAGCGAGCCGGAGTCACACCCACATCTGCTCCATGAAGCCAGGCCAGCACACCCCGAGCTCCTCCTGCCAGGGTGGCAGCACCTTCCATCACGTTTTTTTTCCAGGGGTAATTGGAGAAAGCCAGGAGCAGCAGCAGTAGCAGAGCAGCAGGTCCAGAGGCAATGTGCACAAACACAACTACTAGAAACAAATCCTGCACATAGTTCACATTAACGCATTTTTTAATTAAAAAAATGAAAATTAGCAGTATCTGCAAGCAATTCAAATTAAATTTGTTTTTGTTCTGTGAATGAACTTTATTTTAATAACTTTGGACGCCTTGAATCCCAGGGCTTAAAAAAAAAGATATTATATATATACTCTGTTTGATTAATTGTATGATCTTAATGAAGTAGATTTTTTCTTTTATTTTGGTATTATTACATACCCAGTGCATAATTCCTTATCACCTTAATTTCTCAATGACTAAAACAATCTGGCCGCTTCCTTGTGTGGTTTAAGAGTAAACAAGGAATGAGGGTTGGAGAGTAGCTGTGAAATTGCAGTGTCAAAAGATGTGCAGCAAACTTCATTCTTCCCATTGTGGCCAGGAGCTGAACCCCAGCTTCTTACTTAAATTGTTGAATTTAAACTACAAGTGACAGAATCCTTGCAATTCAGCAGGTGTTGTGGTTTGGTTTTTTAAAGGTGGCATTGTTTAAGGTCTGTATGTTAGAAATTGGCACCTGAGAGTCAGCCTGCAGCTTGTCTGTCAGTGCTGCAGTGAATCCTTCCTGGATTCTCCTTTCCTAAGGAAAATATTGCATCAAAATGGCCGCTGGAGGTGCAGCACAAATCCTGCCAGAAGTACTGGGAAGCAAATTTGCTTGATAGATCCAATGCTTCTCCAAGTAGATGCTTTGTAAGTATAAGTTGGAGAAGCCATCAATCTTTTTTAAAAAGTAAAGAAATGAAAGATTTTATTCTTGCTGCACGTTTTTTGACTCCTTTGACATACACTAGGGTGAGACCCTGGATACAAAGAACCCTGGAGAACGATTTTAAAGTGCTGCTCCCTCTGCACCTTCTTGGCCTGTGTTCTCTTTTTTTTTTTCTGGGTTAGACTACTAAATGGGAAAGCACTGGTTATGTAATAAATTACTGCATTGCTTTGGTTGGGTAAAGCAAGAGTTATTGAATTTTCTTGGGTTTTAGTTGTTTTTCCTTAACCTTAACTCCTGCTGAGGTCGTAGCAACCTTGGGCTAAGCTTTGCATTCATCATACTGTTAAATAAAACAAAAGGGGGGGTGGGAGGGGATACAGTCCCACTATTGCCTACCAGTAGGAGAGTCCAAACAGAAGACTCTTTTGAGTAGCAATTATTTAATTTGCCCAGTTAAGGCACCGCGTTTATATACTATTTCACATTGAATTTGATTATGCCCTACAGACCTGGCTGGTCAAGGATTTGATACACATATTGGCTTGGGATTCGAGCTTTCTTTTTTATTTAAATAAAAATTTATATATAAATATATATATATACATATATACATAGTTATATCTGTATATATATTGGGTATGTTTTAAGAATTTTTTCGCATGAGCGCAGCTGTTGTGATCAAATGTCTGGGAGGTAGAAGCACTGAATGAAAATAAAGGCATTTTTCAGCTCACACCCCCCCCACTCTCCATATGTCTTCACATGGGTTTATTTCACTCTTAGTTGAACTTTGGCCTCTTCATTGCCAAGAGTAGTTTGAGGCTTGCTTTGTTTTCTACCCCCTCCTAACTTTGGGCAAAGAACCATCTTTGCACTAGAGCAGCTTCACCTCCAGCTTGTCCCCACCCATCCGTACCTGCTGCTTGAGGCCAAGCATTCCAGCCGCTCCCCTGGAGCCCAGCAGGGCTGGGGGGATGCAGTTATGAGTCTGTTCCTCCCTTCTCTGCTCTGGCCAGGAGGATGATGAAGGTGTTTCCCTGGCTGCCTGCTCCCAAGTCACCTGGCACAGGCCGCCTGCCCTCTCCTCCCATCATTTAGTGCAGAGCACCACCCTCAAGTCAGCCTTCTCCTTGGTTTTAATTAGTTTATACCGTCCTGCTGTGTCTTTATTAACACAGGAAGCTCACCTTAGTCGAGATAATTAGTGCAATATTCTAAACTAGGAGGACAAGCCCAGAATGTTCTTTTTTTTGACTGCAGTAATTGTGGATGTAAAATTAATTTTCAAAGATGGTTACAATAGGTTTGACTCCAACAGATTCATTTGCAACACTAGGAAGAAAATCTGGAGGGCAAAAACCTTTTTACCTTTTATTTAACTAGTTCCCTTGCCAGATTAGGGATTTTTCCTTTCTCCACTTTTTCTACTGGGAGGAATTCTGCAGTTAGAGCTACTCAGATTGCTGGCCTGCATATGGTGAATGCTTCCAAAACTTGGGGATTAGAAAAGAGACCTTACTGGTTTTTTGGATTTTTTTTTCTCCTTCATCCAACTGTCCGTGCTGTACTTTGTGTGTAGTGTCCTTGTTGTGATCAGTGTGTCCAGGTGAATGCCCTGTTTGCCCAGAATTATAGTTTGGCTTGTTAAATAGTGTGTTTAATATCTACTAACAGTATTGATTTTTAGCTTCGGTTCTTCCCCTCCTCCTCTTCCCCTTTTTCTGCCTTTTTTTTTTCTTTTTGCAGAAGTTCAGTTGATTAAAACAAGTTGAACAGCAAAGTGCAGTGCATGCTTTTAAGTCTTTTTCTGAAAACTGCACATGAAATGTTCCCTTTTTGTGGAAAAACTGGGAGAACTCAGAGAACAGAGAGCTCTCCATGCAGTTGGCAGCATTGATGGTTACAGCAAATAAGCTGAGAGTCAAAATGTCTGGAGCCACTCTCTATCCTGCTACGGTCATTGCTATAGCCCATCACTGTCCCAGTTGTACAGGAGTGCTGCCCACCTCTGTGAGATTGGTCTTGGCTACGGATTGCTTTAGTTCCTTCTACCTGGGCAAGAAGGAGCAGTATTACCATGGTGTTAGGGCACTGCTGCATCCTTTGGTAGGTAGGTGGAATTTCCTACTGCACTAGACAACTCTTAACCCTCACTGATACCTGGGTTCCAGCCCCGGCACGGACAAACCCCCCCCAAATAGAAAGCTTCAAGCGGAAGGTTGAGCTTCAGTGCATCAGTGATACAGTCAGTGTAGAAATGTCTGTTTATTCTGTAGTGTTACTTTCCTTCTCCTGTCAACATCTCTTCTTCCTTTCCTGTGACCTAGTTCTGATTTCTTAATAGGAGAAATTGCCCCTCTTGCATGCTGTCCCATTTCAGAGTAGGACTTGTTTTCTCTAGATCAGAGCACTTTTCAAGCTTGCAGCACAGTTATCCCCTTCCTTCTCAAGTTCTTTTCTGTCTTGTTTTTTCTGAGCCTTCACTCCCTTTTTTTTTTTTCCTCCTTTCCTCCTGTGGCTTGCCCATCCACCCTCCCTGATTGTGTAACAGTGACAGCTTGCTGCCTCAAAACAGAGCATTCAAATGAATTCGCTTAGCCAATAACTTCTGTGAAGTTGCCTTTTCTAATGGTGTTATTACTCAGTGATGCACAAATGTGATATTGCCCCTACTGGTAGGCAAACGGGGGATCTGTATAAACATGGTAAACTGCTGTTTTCTTTAAAGGAGAGCCAAAGACTTGTGCTTTACACTTTTTTTTTTCCCCTGATGTAGCCATTTTGATTGTCAAGCGTTTGTAGGGTATCGTGAGTTGACTGTATTATCCTAATAACAATTTCCAGAAGTTAATGATTGTCAAGCCTTGCCCATGCATTCAATTGTGGAAAATCATTCCATTGAGTCATACAATTTGCAATGTACTGAGATGTATCTGGGATGTTGTGATGTATTTTCAGTCTCTCATGCACTCTCTCAGCTGATGGAATGGCTCATTTGGAGAGGGAGAAGGAACATAGAAATCTCATAATCCAAGAAGCCTTGTCTTTAAGTGTTTAAATCTAAATTGATGGAAAATCTCTTCAGTTACATTAAAAGATAAATCTGTGTTACAAACGTGACTGACTTTTAAGCCCATTGGAACCGGAAAGACTTGTCAGACTTTAGCATTACATTAAATTAGATGTGCAAGAACCAAACTTGTATGGTCATATTGTCTCTTGACAGCACAAACTGAGTAAGATGGGGTAAATTCTTGTCTTAAAAAAGGGCCAGGACTGAGGCTTTTATTGATAATACAAGAAAGCCACTTGCATTTCCCTTCCTTGATCTACTCAAACTCTTGCAGACTTGGTACAAAGGTTTTTAGATTAAGAGAGAAATCTCTAAGTCCAAGTAGCACAAACCCTCGTTTCCATTACCATTTATAAATTTGGACTATAACAAAGCAAACAGTTACCTGAAGAACCCCAATAAAAAGTATCTTTGCTGGACTGGCTATTTCAGACCCACTTTTATGATCTTGAGAAATTCAGTGCCAGTATTCAGGAGACTCAAGGGCAGGAGTGCCAACTTCCTTCTCTGCTCTAAAATAGGGAAAACACCCAGACATATAAGCGGTGTGCAAGTTTTGTGCTTGTCTGTGTGTGTATGAGGAAGTGTTTGTCGTCCTAGGATAGACAGAGCAGTGCTAGACCATGATTCAAGTTTTGTCATAATCCACTTCCCAAAACACAGCCTTCCATTTTGCCTCCTAATGTTGCTGATATAAAAACAACCAAAAAACCTCAGTGTGTCAGCAACTTAATTTCTTGTATCGTAATATATCAAGTTACCTGGATGAAAAAAAAACAACCCAGGAAGCAAAAGTTGTTGAGTTGACATGAATTGGAAAAACATCTGCCTCCCTTGAGTAATGTAAACTGAATTTCTGAGAGAAGTGAAGCAGATCTTCTGAGCCACCTTTTGGGTACAGCCTTGGTGCCAAGAGCTGTGTGGTTGTTACTTGTAAATCAACATACTGATTATTTTGTACCACAAATTGATTTGCTCTCACATCAAGTAGACACTGAAATGTCAAAAACATCATTGGGAGTTCTCTTTTCCATAGTCAAGTGTTACCAACTGCATTATTTTCTGTGGGAATACCAATAGATGAAAGAGGCTGGAGTAAGTTAGTTCAAGTTGCACAGTATAAGTAAGGAATTTTGGGGAATGTTATTGCAGTACAGTGTCCTTACACAGTTAACATGTGGTCTTCATTCTTCTGTAAGAAGAAGAATGTAATTGCTTAGTGTTGTCACAGCCTCCGAGACACTTCTTGTAATGCAAGTAGAGCTTAATTAGCAGGGAAAGGAGAACAAACTTAATGCTTATTTTGTTTGTAATATAATTTCCTAATGGCAAGTGTGATATCATGTCGTGGGAAGTCTTTGAACACTGGTAAGCAAAGAGGCTGCAGCTTTTCCTGAAATTTCCCAAAAAAACAAGCACGTGGCAATGTGGATTTGTCTGCATAGGAACATCCTAGTCATTTGAAGCTTAATGTATGTGGCCATAATATTCGAAATTGGGTGCCTGTAGCTTAGTAACATGGATAATTAACTGATCTTTCCCAGGCAATCTTTGCAATTCCAGTGAGTTTTTGTGTATGATTTGAGTGCCAATTGCCAAGTGTTCAGCAGCTGGGAAGGTTTAGGTGACAAGGTACATCCAGCAAGGCAGCTTTCCTTGGATATACCAATTGGATGTTTTCATATGCCAGGAAACAACTGATTCTGAGATCTGAAAGCTCTAGGAAAACACAATTATCAACTTCAATTTGAAACATGCAGTGTTGGGAGAGAGGGAAGCAACAGGTGGTGCAGTGTCTCTGGAAATAAAAAGCATTAGACATGGTGGAATTACATGTGAAATATATATGGGGAAAATATATCTGTAAGCAAAAAAGAAAAAGAAAATCTTGTGGAATATTTGATGTTTAAGAAATTATTTGCTTCTTTGTAATGTTAAAAATGCCTAATTTATAGTTCTGTGGCAGACAGTACTCACAAGTCTTTGGCATCCAAACCAGACTGTGTATTGGATGGATCCCACAACTGGATGTGTGTGCTGACCTCTTTATTTGTAGCTTTTTAAAAAGAAACTTGGCAGCAGCCTTTTAAAAATGTGTGAAGCAACCTGAGGGAGAGGAGGAGAAGCCGACCCGTTCACCTCCCAGCTGCTGCCCAGCTCACAATTGGGACCGTTCACCCACAGCCTCTCGCAGGTGAAGCTGCTCAGCTTGGGCAAATCAAATGATTTTGAGAGTTTTTCCTAATTTTAAGGAGTTCCCATTCCCCCTTTGGCTTCTGCTTGCTGTGTAAGCAGCCTCCATGCTAAAAGGAGCTTTCCTTGCAGTCAGCTTAGCAACCGTGCTGTAGCTTGGCTGTTCTTCCCTGTTTCCTGTAACTGGTAGTGGAGTGTCCAGCTCTCTCCCCATTGTATTTGCTGCTGTGGGGAGGAAGAGGTGAGAAAAGGCACATGTGAGAGGAGGGAGGAAGAACTGTGGGATCTCTACAACAGCTCCCACACCCTCTTTGAAATCATCTGCTTCCAGTTGTGGGATTTCTCTATAGATGATCTTTTTTTCCTGGTTTCTGTAAGCCTAATTTTCTTCGATCTTGTTAGTTCCGTACAAGTCTCCCCGAGACATTCTGCAGTCATTATCACCTTTTTGGGTGGAGTTTTATTTTAA